TATATATATATAGTTATATAATGTTGTTTTTGCATTGTCGCGTAAAGCGTTCCCGCTAACCTCTAACAGAAGTTTTTATCTAATGGTTACTGTGTTACTTACCCATATGACCTCACGGTTTGTCGCTTGATCCGTCGGAGGGGCCAACAGCTGCGACATTTGGCTGTGTATGTCAGCAGCGGTGGCAAAACGATTTCATTAACATGGTTGTTACTCTTTCTGATCGAGGTGCGTGGACAACTCATTCGGAGATAGCGCAGGCAAAGTATTTGTCACATATTTCTGTACTTCGTTACTCTAATCGTACTATTTTGCACCCCCTGTTATATTTGTGTGCGGTTATTATGAAAACTTTCTGTTGGCGTTGTGCTAGTTTGCTCGGCTGCCCCTCGTTGCTGTTATTATCGTTTGCCATTGGCAGAAAAAGAGACAATAAATAATAATTTGAATCCTAAGAACAATTACGTTCAAGTACATTAGTCATCGTCAGGATTTACGTTTAAGAAATAAACAGTAAAAAAAAAAAATAAATAAATAAAACATCAACATCAGTGGCAGCACAGCACACAACACGCGACCCACGCCACCGGCTCTCAATTTCGTCGATTTGCGCTGGCTTGTTAGTTGGTTGCTGGTGCTGCTGCTTTTCTTGTCCATGCTGTCGCTGGCCCGCCGTCATCTTCTCAGTCGACCATTACTACCGTCCTGCCCATGGCCATTAATGCAGGCAGAGATTGCCACGACGAACAAGGAACCGAGCCACAGCAAAGAGGTCTCCCGTCATAGGCGAAGACACGGCCGACCCCGCCAACCCCAGCATCGTCAGCTCCGCAAACTGAGCACTTCCTCTAACGAGTAAAGGCCGGGCAGGCTGTGCGCCTATACAAGTCTTTTGTGCTGCGAGAGCCTATAGTGGCCATAGGCAGTCACCTTCTGCTCGCCGCCTCTATCGAAAAACCCACAATTGACTATAGCTTCACTACTGATTGCTTCGTATATGGTCGCCATCGTGAGGCTCTATGCATACGCGCTCCTCGATGCTTGGAGCTTCCCTGAGCCATCCGTTCGCTCTCTGCTGCGATGCCACCAATGGCTGCAGCAACAGTAGTAGTACCACCACGACCACCACCACCACCACCACGACCACCATCGATTGTGTGTAGCGACCGCCTCTATGGCGCGCCGTTCGTAGAGTTGGCCAGGAAGCTGACCGGCCAGCCGCAGCACACAGTGAACACGAACGATCTCTGAGGCTACAGCAGCGCCCTCTCAGTCGCCACGAGTTGTATGCTGCCTCGGCACTGATGCTGCCTTGGTGAGCGGCCAGCAACAGCAACATCGATGCTGCTGCTGTGCTCTTGCTGATTGTCTTCATTTACTAGACGCCGCCGCCGCCGCCGCTGCTCACCTTTGGCGGCTGCTGGCTGTCTTTCTGCTGCTGCTGTTGTTACTACAGCCGGCCGCCGTTGGCTTGGCGCGGTCCCCCTCGCTCGCTCTCAATTTTTGCTAGTCGTTTTGGCGGCGAAGCTTCCCTCTCCCTTTTCGCGGCCATTTGGTCACTACAAGCAGCTACGATAAAGCTCTGGCCGGCCCAAAGCCACGCCGTCCTTCCCGCTGCTGTTGGCGTCGCTGCTTCAGCCGCAACCGTCATTACACTGGCACGAGAACTCTACGGCGTTTGTAGTCGTGTGAGAGCGAGTGTCGACGATCGGCTGCCTGCCGCCGGCTGAGCTTTGGTTTCGTTGCTTCGTTGGGGTCGTTTGGCCTGCTGCTGCTGCTGTTGCTGCTGCTGCTGCTACTGCTGCTACTACTACTATTACTACTACTACTACTACTACTGCTGCTGCTGGTGCTGCTGCTGCTGCTGCTGCTACTGCTGCTGCTGCTGCTAACACAAGCGACCGCCACAGACCAGCAGTAGCTGTCTGTCTGTCTGTCTATCTGTCTGTCTGTCGCCTCGTCTTCGTCACTCATTTGCTGTTGCTGTTCGCAGCGGCATTTTGTGACCGTTCGGGCTTGCTAGTAGCTGCCATCAGCAACCACCATTGTCGCCACAGCACTCAGCCGCCTAAGCTGTTGTACGAGGACGACGAGCAGCAGCAACAGCAGCGGCAGTTGTTATAGTGCTGGATAGTGAATAATAGCAGTCGTTGTTATAGACTAGAAGTAGTTGTAGCCAAGCGAACGAAGCCTCGTGTGCTTGTTCGCTCCCGCGTTGCATTGCCGCGTTGTGGTGTCGTTTGGTTCGTGCCGGTGACAAGAAACGCTCGGCGTTCTTGCCTTCTCAATTCGACAACATGCGTCGGATAACTCTCGAAGACGGAACCCTTCTCGGTACGTACTTGTTAGAACACGTGAACGTAGCGCTAGTTAATGGAATGGTGATGGTCATGTAGAGGAGATTTGTGCTACGTTTTCAGTGCTGGTGATTGTTCTCGCAGTTGACACGGTGTCCTACCGCGGCGCCGCCGCCGGCCGGCCGGCGACCGCGATGCCGGTAATAATGCCGCCATAAGCGCTGGGCTCGCGGCCATCATTGTCACCTCATGCCATTGCGTTTCTCGTATTATCTAGTCGATATTATTCCATACCAATAATAGTACACGTGTGATGTAGCTACGAAACGGCTAGTACCAATTGTAGGGCGATTAAAAAAGTATAGTGGTAATCGATAGACGGCTGTCGAGTGGTGCCACGGCTGGGTCGGCTGGTCGCTGTGATCATGGCGTCCCATCGCTGCTACCCCAGGGTTAGTTACTTACACCGGTCGATGTACCTAACGCGTGCCCTCTCTGGTGCGTTGGGTCTCAGTGTTGGCGCCATTATCACGTTTCATAGTAGGAAACCACCGTTGTTAATGCGAGCGACCAGGTGCTACTTTAGGCAACGTTTGCGCGCTTTTTCGCCGACAATGGACAAACCACCAGTAGGGTGAAGTCAGTCACCCGATCAAAAGACGTGGTTCAGTGGCTGGCGCTAATGCCAGCTCCAACGTGCTCTATGTTGGCCGGCATAGCCTTCTTCCTAGCCGAGTCATCGTCTTGCACAGAGCGTCAATTGTTGTTCGGTTGTGGAGCGTAGCTGCCTGCCTCGCGCATGTTGTCATGTCGGTCAGCTAATGCCGTACGGCTATTATCGCCGTGGCCACCGATCGGCACCGCATCTGCGGGAGCCAGGGCCGCTTCACTCAGCTCCGTGCTTGCTGCCGCCGCCGCCGCCGCTGCCCTTGTGCAAGCGGCAACAAACCGTTCTGCTGCTGCCCAGGGGGCTTCGAGAAGCGTGGAGGTGCCATTTTTTGCTCCTGGAGTTGCGGCGGTGAAAGCACTTGGTGCCGAGTAGTGTTCAAGGTACTACCGCGATCTTTTCGTTTGGCTGTAATACTGTGCAGGCTGTCGGTACAAGTCGAATAACGCGCTGTAACCGAGCCGGCCTATTGTCGAGGTTAGTTTGGCTAGTGAAAAAACGACATCCAATTCTTACCGTAACTATTTACTGTAGTAGCTTCTGCTGCTGCTGCGGCGCTCCGGCGGCCGATGTCGCCATTACGACGATGGCCACTACCATCGCCGTCGTCGTTGGACGAAAAGAGGAAGAACACTTGAATGATTCGTTGTAGTGTTGTAGCGTAGTGGAAAGCTGCTGCTGCTGCTGCTGCTGCTGCTGCTACTACGTTCGGCCATCACCGCAGTCTGTGCTGGTATAGCAGCATTATTGTGCTTGTGTCAGTGTCGCGGTTGAGCTCGTTGCCATTCGGCATTTCTAATGCTTGCCTCCCGACCTCCCGCTTTTCTTTTTCGTTGTTGCCTTCGGTTTATTACTGCCATCCCCCAAGGTGGTAGTAGTCGTGGCCGTCATGGCAGCTTGTCTCGTCTGTTTTGGCGGTGCCGCGACTATCGACAAACGGCGTATGAAACACACGGACAGAGTTTGGCGCAAAATCAAAACCTGAGCATCCCCTCTGTCTGCTTTTTTCATATGTACATACATTGTGTTGTTAGCTGTGCGTGCGTATTTATTGGGATGGTGACAACGTCCTATGGTATTATGAACGATGTCAGTAGTCGGCAGCTGGGGAAAACAGACCACTGACGATAATTGCGTCTAATGTTTTCTCTGATACTTCCTATACGTGCTATTTTATATATATATATGTATATATATATGATATAATTGTGGATAGAGCAGTCTCCGAGAGACAACTCGGTGATGGTACACAGAACGGCAGCGTTCAGAAGATACAAATAGTATTAAATTGTTGGTGATAGGTTGGAGCTCTTATTAGTTTTAGGTATTGTCATCGCAGCCTACCACTGTTTGTTGCTTGTCATGACATGATGTTGCGCTTAGTTCTCGAAGAGTGAAGGTCGGCAACGTGACCCGGGAAGACCTTCCTGATGACATTATCGTTATATAATAATATCGTTGATTATTCGTCCTGTTTCATTGACTATTGGCGTGACCGTGGGCAAACAATTAACTTATTGATTCTCACTCAATTAAATCATGTTCAAAGTATGGGGAACTGAGCTGTGCATTGTGCATGACTGACTTGATTGGATGAAATATATGCATAGCAAGTTATAAAACGCCTTACTACAATCGTTTTTTCGTACTTTGCTGTCGTTGTCGCCACCGAGTGGAAACGAGCTGGTCATCAGTTGTTCGTTATTTCGTCTTTCCAGTCTTCGACGATTCGGTTGCTAACAATAATGCTGATTCCAGGTGAGGAGGAGGACGATGATGACGATGATGGAGATGAGGAAGAAGAAGAAGTCGGTGATGAAGACGAGGAAGAGGCTGATGGTGAAGGCGATCTCGAAGGTGAAGGTGATGCCGACGGCGATGACGGTGATGAGCCGGACGCTGGCGACGAGGAGGACGAAGAGGAAGAGGTCGGCCTCGAGTATCTCGACAAGGCGAGTATCTAACAACAGCTGAACAATCATTACAACCGCCACTACGAAAAGCACAACAGCAACAAATACACAACCATCGAAAACGACAATAATCTTAACTATCGCATTATGCTATCAACATATAAAATTAATCTACGAGCACCATCCGACACGAACTGGCTGTACGGCGGGATTTGACATTTCGCTAATATTGCCACCAAGGCAGAAATGAAGCTGGACGGTGAAGACCGTGCGAAATGCATTCATTGTCGTTTTGCTAGCAATATCCTCTCTAACATGAGATGATATCTGGTAATGCGTTCGCCAGTGTTTGTCCGTGACGAATTTCGTGAAGAATTTTTTTGAGTCGATGACCACGTTTGTCGGAAAGTAGATACCAAACCAGCCGATGTCAGTTGGGGCTTCGCAGGCATTTCCGTTGAGGAAAGCTGCTTCAAAAGTGATTGAAGTGTGAGTGAAACGTTTTTTACGACGCTGTGTTCACGCAGCCGCTCAGGTAAACTAGTATATAAAAGGATTAGTAACTGGCTCGTGCATATAGGTGTAGTTTGGGTTACAGTGAAGCTTTGAATTTGAGGCATTTTGATGCTACTCATATGACTAGGGGGTATTCAATGGAACGTTTTAGCATTTATTAACTCAAGGGGGTTTTGAAACAGGTTTGACTCGTGCTGGAAAATGTTCATTGGTAGATCGAATGTGTTCTAATGCACATGTAAATCGCTTCTATTCTTCGTGTTTCTAAAAATCATTCTGTCAGTTATTTCTGTATGTAAATCCCCCGTCTGTTATGTAAGGATCACCATATTCTCATATATCTATAATAATTACAAACTTGTTGTTGTTGTCTTTAGCCAGCAATGTACCTCGTGGAGTGTTGACTCACTTATGCCGCCACGTGGCATATGATGTCTTTCGTTTTCTTTCGCCCCACTTCGTTATGCGCTAAAAATTTGAGATCCTTCGAAGAAATTTGGCGCCAAATACTGTGAGCTATAACGACACACGTACACATACTGTTGTACGAACGACCTTTGGCGCGCTTTTCGTCAGCGACCATCAATGTGTTACTACAGAATTGCAGGGGCTACTAATAAATAGTTGCCGTGAACAAATACAGACTCTGGCCGTTGTAAATAATGGTGGATGATAGGCTCCATGATGGTAGATTGCTTTTTTCCGATGCTCATTGCTTCCTGTCTTCGTTTATGGTTTCTCGTGTTGTCTGCTTGCCTGCCTTTCTTATAGGTCTACGAGGCATAGCGAAGCGCTCTCTGGGCATGGCTTAGCGTAGCTCCATTTCGGGCTACCCTTTGCGTCCGCGACTAGCCCTGTTTTGCTTAGTGTTTATGCTTGAACGCAAACGTAGACATAACGATAGAGCAGCGGTGTCTGGGTGTGTGTAACCCCTGCGATTCAAATTTTCTATTCAACGGTTTTCCCGCCAGCGTACCTGGCGACAACGGTTACCTTCGACCGCTAACCAACGACCAATGAACAACGAGCGTCGCTCGCCGTTGCTGCGATGCGCAACGTAGCAACGGTGAAAATTGGCTAATCTGCCTGTATTTGCTTTTGCTGTGACAGTGCTGCTTCGTACGTGACGGGCGTGCTGTTTATACCGTTGCTGTTGAAATCACGTGAACGGTAACGACTCGGAACAAACACCAGCGTTGGGTGCAATGACAACAGTAGGAACAGCAGCGAAGTGAGGAACAATACAATAACAGCAATAAGGTTCGCGTTTGCTGTCATGGTTGTCGACGCGGCTTTTGTCGGTGCGATAGTTGTTTTTTTTTTCTTTTGCCGCTACTTACGCTTTCTCCTTTGACTGTCATGGCCGTTTAGCGCGTTTTTACAGCTAAGCTTCTCACTGGAAAGAGTGAACTTGAATCAAATTGATGTCGATCTTAGCGCTCTGATGATGTTAGCGGCGAAGGGGGGTTGGATTGGTTGATTCTTCGCTCTGCAAGTAAAAGATGTGGAGCGTGTGTAGAAATGAATGAGGGTGCCTTCGCCGGCTCTAAGGGACGCTTTCGAGAGTCCCTGTTGCTGTAGCCGATGTTACTGTTGCTCGATGGAAAGGGTCAGCGTTGTTGTATTGTGTTGGTGCGCTCGTGCAGCCGAACGACTTCTCCCATTTACTGGTCGCCGGCTTTCGTTGGCTTGCAAAATGGCGGCCGTGCCGCGGACTCTGGGCTTGGGTCGCTGGTTGACTACTAACTGGGCTCCCATCTGACTGCTGTCGGCTGTACTCTCCCTTAGCTGGCGGCGGCGGCTGTTTTGTTAGAGGCTTCGGTTTTGTTATGTGTGTGCGGCGCGTATGAAACCGATATTGGTCCACACAGCACAAAGAGTCGGGCCGCTATCAGTAACAAACCGCCACCGTCATGGTTACCTGGGGCCACTCTACTATTTAACCAGGTTACTTACCATTTGTTGTTACTTCTATAAGCGTACTGTGGCAGCTATACTCGGAATCGTTGAAAAAGGTTCTGCAATAGATAAGTGGCGGTAGTCGGCTGTAACAAGCAATCGTCGTAGCCGGCAGTTTTCAGTAGGCTGACAGCAGTACAGGTAAAGGTAATAGTGGCGGTAACAGTGCACTGACATATTCTAAGCAGCACTTAGATGCTGGGCAGCTGTTGTCAGATAGAAACGCCATGATTATCATTGCGTGGTGATTGTTGTCGTTCGTACGGCAGTGGGAGGGAATTTACGGGCAGCTTAGTAAATATTTGTTCTTGAAAAATGGCTTCCTGTGCTATCTACGGTCGCACAGACATGTTATACGAAATAAATGTCTCACGCCTATTTCATATCAGTATTATGCACGGCGAGACACAACAAAATGGCTAACGAATCTATTAGATTAACAGAATCCAATAAAGGATATATTTTTGTAATAGCATGTCCTTTTTCCGTCGGGGTTTAGTTTGTGCCAATGTCTTTGGGACTGACAACGGTTAGCCGTTATTTCACTGCACTATTACCACTCTTATTGATTCCTAATACCTGAAATATGAGCACTATACCATCAGCATTTAAGACCAGAACTATTCACCGATGATATACATTTAATTGCCGTACCATGTCCTACTGCACGAGGGAAACTGGTGGGAGCGAGGTGGGATATGCTTTGCTGAAACCGTTTGTTTGGTCATTGTTACTGTTGTTGTTGTTGTTGTTGTTGTTGTTGTTGTTGCGTCATGGTGGTGACCCGTTGACCTCTTTGTTTCGAGTTTTACGTCCGGTATCGCCGTCAGACATTCGATCAGACGGACGGCTGGCTCCCAGCAGTCAACACGTAGCTGTGTTTTCCTTCCACATAGAATGTCGAGGACGAGCTTACGTGATCACTATAATAGAAAGGTAAGAAAGCCATAAACAGCGAGTGTGGCACGATACGATGACTCGAGGGTTAGTCGACAATTCACCGTTGATCCAGTTATGGCAAACCTGACTCCGGCCGTAGGCACGATCGAGGCACTATCGTTGATGGTGATTATTATAATTTTCGAGATGGTAGTGCTGGCTCGAGTATTTTCTGAACTAGTTAATCCGACACTGTTTCGTTGAAGATATTAGAAGGTAGTGTTTTCGTTGTGAGCCTAGTAATTTCAATAAAATGGTTTTCTGTATGTGTATGTGTGTCTGATAGCGTATTCTGCTTAGGTGCTACGTTCGTGTCATTAGCACGGACCTATGTGTTACGGACACTGGCACTTGCTGTCACAGCATTTTCGACCTGAAATTGCCTCAAAAAAAGATATAACATACGACAGTGAAGCATACACAGACACTGAGTACTGAGCGACCGGCCATCGCTGAGTTAACGGCAAGGCGCCATTAATGCTATGACAAAATGCATTACCATCGGCATTGGTGGCGCTCGCGTCGTCGTTTATGGTTTTTACCATGGTGTAGCCTTTTGAGAGTGGTCTTAATTTAACTAGTGCTGTTCTGTGCTGTTGGAAAAAAAATAAGCGGCCAGTTGTGAACGATCATTGTAAGCGAAAGCACTTCCGTTGTATCCTGAGTGTGTCGCTACTATTCTTAATTCTTTGCATTGCCATTGTCGTAATACATTCGACTCATGTAACGGCGATTTTTTTGCTAATGAAACTTTCATCTTCCCGGCGTTGGGTTGTGTTTGTGATTGGATAGATTGATTAACTGTTAGAAAGCGTTAGGTCTTGATCTCATCTATTGGTTGGGTTTATTTCATTGTTAAATGGAAGTCCTGTGGATGCTTTAATTGTATTTGGTTAAACCGTTCTCGTTGTGTTAGTCTAGGGGCGGTAACATGTTGTGTTAAAGAATTTTTTCTATGTTGATCGTTGTCTTTATCGATATAGTTTATGCTAGCTAAACATTATGTAGATTAGTCCATGCAGATGTTTCACGTTGAAGGGGATGTTTTTACGAACAAGTGTTGCTTCAATGGAACGCCAATCAAAGTCACATTCTAGCACTGCTCCATTCGACCTCGACCCTCAGTTAGTCCGCACGGACAGAAGCCGTTCCCCGAACGTGACCGCCTTTTCACCACTGACTGATTGAGTCTATTGCTCTCGACATTAATGGCGGGATTTTTTTGCTGACTTAACGGGTGCACGCAGCACATAGTTCTCCCCCTCTCGCTTATTTTCCCTATTTGTCCACGTGTTTGCCGAAAGCAGACGACTCTAGCTATTGCTGTCGTTGCATGCAGACGCATTTACAGTGACGAGATAAGAATAGTTCACAGTGGAGTTCGAAGTCGGCGAGTCTGCAGGGTGATGCTCGGCATATGCTTGTTGTGAACAACCTCCAACGTCTTACAAAGCTCCAAGCTTCCGTTCCTATCTAATCGCTCTTAGCGTAAGCGGACGAGTCGATGTTGTATGAAAAAATACCTAATTCGAAGTGGATGTTTGTCAAGCTACTGAGTGGATTATTCCTGGACAGATTAGCAGCGATCCAAGATCACCGTGGCACATAATAAACAATTTCACCACGAATACCATGTGTTTTGTCTACATTCAGTGATCAGTTCGTTTCTTGTGTAGCTCAAAATTAAATACCGTTTCGTTAATAAAAAAAAAAGGAATGATTTACTCGAAATACCGATGAACTTTGCCGTTACACTGAATTAATATGATCTCTACCTGTTTTGTAAATTTGAATTGTAGGAGGATATTGATGAGGAGGACGAAGGCGACTACGAACCCGCCGAAAAGGAGGCTGCAGCCGCAGCTGAAGATGACGACGAAGAAGATGCTGAAGATGCGCCGGCCAAAAAAAAGAAGAAGTCTGAGTAGGAACGACATTGATGCAGGGCGACAGCGTCAGCAGCACTCAATAGAAAGATGAAAGAGTGGTCGTCGCTCGCCGCTCCGCTTTGAAGCATCGACTCCCGCATCAATTCCGCATAAAGATGTTGCTCATTGAGAAACTGGTTTGAGGTAATGACGTGAAGAATGTTGCCAGCCATTTTGGTGCTTTTCATGGTGTCGCGCGCGATCAACCATCAGCACTAATACGACAATGCTCCAATCGGCCATAGGTCGAGGAATAGTAGACACCGATGAGGGACTCAGTCAGCGACCCAATGAAAAACACTATTTCTTCGTCGTTTACAAGAAGTACAAGTTGCATAAACTAAATTCACCCAGAACACCGATTGTCGTCTAACTGACGCCGCCCCTAGATCGTACGTAAGTGTGTGTATGTGTGCATGTGTGTGTGTATACGTGTGTGTGTGTGTGTGTGTGTGTTGGGGTATATACGTGTCATGGCACAGCCACAAGAAATCACAACAACGGCAACAGAAATAGGAAACAATATCTCGTCGATGCTGAGAGGACGGACGGCATAGCAACCCAGCTCTCTTACTACCTGCTGCTACTATAAGACAATTATAAGAATTGATTTCTATATTATAAAGACAATGTGAAGATCGAATTTGGGAGACGGAAGCAAAACAACACATAAAGGGAAGGAAGGAAGGAAGGAAGGAAGGAAGATAGGGGCACGCATCGCTGGAGTAACAAGGCTGGGTGGCAAAAAGGTCCGCCGCCAGAAAATGCAGTAGAACCCAAGAACAACAATCCAGGAGTGAACAACAACAACAACCACCACAACAACAACAACAACAACAACAACCACAACAACAACAACAACAACAACAACAACAACGTAGTACTCGTCGCTGTGCGAAGCTCTCCGCGCGCACTCCCTTCAAGTTTCTGGAGGGATAATGACGGAGTTTGCGCGTGGCGACGTCGGCTGCCGCTGGGCCTCGGATTCTCTCACAATGATACCAGGAGAATACACAAATACAGATGTCCACATATACAGACATGAACAGTTACACATCTGCATCAATGATTGACTCACACAGAGCGGAGACAAACATAGAAAAAGGATACAAAGACGTAGATGGAAAAGAAAGAAAAATAAAAGACAAAACGTGGTGAGAAGCGTGTGTACGCAAATAGACACATGCATATGCAGAATGATGTAGAATAATAAGAAAAAATATATGATGGTGAGCGGCGGCGACGACAGAACGAAATAGGAGAGCCGCTTAACAATAATGAAAGATTATGAAAACTTGTCGTGTTTAACTCGAACTGTTGTAATAGACGGATGACGAACGCTTGTGGATTGATTGATCAACTGATGACCGAGAGAATTCGAGATGATGTGAAAGTGCGAAGGGGTATTGTGACGGAAGAATTAGTAGCAGCGAAGATTCGGCACGTAGCATGATCAAAAGGAGGGGTATGGGTGGGTGGCTGGGGTAACGTACGGAGGTCGCTTTGAGGTTGCGCCACATTCGACGGGAACTTGATATTTACTGTATTCGTCCGTAGAGATACGAACTTGTGGCTAGCGGCTGCCTCCGTACGTACCGCGGGTTCTTCGATACGTTGATAATCCAATGTCGAGGTCGCGATGTTGTGGGAAAAGCAGTGCCAGTATCGTCAAATACATTGAATAACGGTTTAGGCACGTATTCGCGCATTTAGCGACCGTTGTGACGATCGAAAAAGTTTCGGAGTAAATCATTACGATCATCAATATTATTATTATTATTATTATTATTATTATTATTATTATTACATTACGATGACAATGTTATTATTATTATTTTAATAACATCATTATTATCATTGACTAGGACGTAAAGATATTGTAGCGCTGGTGGCTATGTGCAACAAAAGTGAGTTTCGTGTGAATGAAGAAAAGAATGCTTTATGCTGAAGGCACGATCTGTGAAATGTTGGCAACAATAAAAATCAGAATAATTATTATGACTAGGAAAATGATTATTAAATGCGTGTAACGTCAGCCACACAAATTCGTGCCGAAGGTCGAGCCTTCTTTTGATGTGTACCTATCATTGGCTTATTGTATAAAATGAAACATGATTATAAATGCTTGGTTATTATTTGCGTATAATGTATCGACCACAATATTGATCGTTTCCTATAGCCGATTATATTCGTCAAAGCAGAGGCACAGATAGATGATGGCCTATTAGTAAGACCAAAACGCTAGTGAATACAGGCTGGCCAAGCAGGCTGATGCGCAGGTCGCTCGGTTTTGTTGATTAAGAAGAAGCCTATGATGGCTTGAGTGAGTTCGCATCAGCCCTGCTGAACGAGGTATGCGCCCCAGCCTATCGAACAACAAAAACATCCGCAACAAACTTGTATTATTACTACAGTAACAAAAACCGTAAACGCTACTGTATGAATATCAATCACCTAGAGCAACTATACAGGAACATCTCAATGTTTTTTTTTAAGAACGATCTTTCTATCAGATAGAAACCCGCATAGAAATGGTAATCCACAACGAGAAAAAGACGGCTATATCTCCTGTTGTCAGAAAAAAGGAACTAGAATGATAAAAGAATATACTTCATTTACTAGCGAAAACGTTTAAAAGAAATAAAAGGGGACCCCCAGCCTGGCTTAAGTACTTTAAAAGCAACCACCATGAAATCACTGACAGCCTCAATCACAAGGAAACAACGCGAAATAACGACAACGAAGACAGATAGATACAGTTGTAACAGCTGGAGCCAGTATGAACGTCATCATAAAACCATAGGGGAACAACAGAAGGTAATACAATGAACCGCGACAGTAGAGCAGCATGTTTACGAGGATTATTAATCAGAAGATAGATGGTGCATTGAAACGAGAATATATAGATACATAGACGGTAGATGACCAAACGGGATTCTAGCTACGTAAAAATGGACCAGTAACAACAACAACAACAACAATATTGGCGACAACATCAGCAACAGCAAAAGTATAAACTATATGAAATACATATTGGAACGTATAGATCAGAGTAAACAGTAATAACCGGTCTGCAACACAACCATGCGGGGAATACATTTGTGACGCTTATGGGAATTAAGTTTCGTTCCGTTGGACGCACGTGAAGAACGAGGAGCCGATTGTCGCGGATTGCGGTGTCATGCAATCGGCACTGCCTCGCCGTTAGCGTCTAGAGAAACGCTATGATTATTGAATAATATGATTATTATATAATCGACATTGGGCGGTGTTCTCCCTTTTGATGCGGGCAACGGCCTTTGGGTGCGCTCCTTCCGCGCTGCTGTATAAAGCTCGACGTCGACACTCATTGTACATATAACCATACAACAAAAGCAAAATGGGCGCAAGACGGGGAGGCAAGGTAGTAGCCGCGGAGTGTAGATACGACGAAGGAGGGCTGGTGTTCGTTGACTGGCGATCAGCCCTGCTGCGCGGCACTCCCCCGGAGGCCGTTCCGTGCGGGGAATCATAGCACGCTCAACACAACGCCCCCCTGCTGCTCAAGCGTTTTACTGGCGTTGGTGTAGCGATCGCGGTCAGGTTGGGGTAAACGTAAGTGGTCTTTATGGTGGGAACAATCGACCACGCCGCCTGATGTCGCCGTTTGTCGAAGCCGCCGTCGTCGAAGCGATGAAACGAAAAAAAAAAAAATAGCAAACAGAACACGAGCTCTTCTGTGTGATATGCCCGTGAGAATAACAGTGTTGAAACGGCCACACAGGAGGGGTAAGTGTGCGTTTTTGTGGAGATGGGCATCAACCACCTTGGGGGCGTATCGAAAAGCATACAGAACGAATTTCAGTCAATTGGGATAATGATTCGCGGGGTGGCGTTCGTAATTTTCACCGTGAAGCACAACAGCAGCAGCAACAACAAGAAATGATGATAAATGAATAAACATCAGTAATAAACATTCGTATTATCTACTAAAGAAAACGTGTTATTTCCGTAGGTAGTGGCAGGTAGAAGTTCATTCTACATAATATTTACGTCAAATCAATCACTTCTAGTAGTAATTCAATAGTAGAAAAATATTGTATTGATACTACTGGACAGGCATTTTCTTGCCGTAAGTGGAGATCAAAAGTTACATCCACACATTCGGCCGCCGACTTTTATTTCCCATAAACAAATCCGTAACGTTTACGCACTCAAAAAGATGAGGCGAGTTCGTAGCATCCGACGGAGATGCGTACGTAACGTCTAACGCAGTTACGACATGTCTTGCATTTGCACGCATCACCGTTTATTGAGTCTAATGTTGGACTTCGAGTTCGACGCAGATATGCGGATGCACTAGGCTGCCCAGAGTCGTACGTTGGAGGACCAGAACACGTTTAGGCGATTTGGGTCTCCTCAGATAATCTTCGCTTCGTAGAAAATAGTTGAAAAGTTTGGTGGGTTGAAGAGGCTTAATGCAGTTAGGATAAATAAAAGGTGAAAATTCCTGATTGTCGTCATTGCAGACAGTGTATCTTTCAGCATCGTTCGGTGACATAAGTCAAGCAGTTCCTTTTAACTGTTTTCCCTACGTATGGAAATTTCTATCCAAGGGGGTTGCTACCATTTTTATATAATTAACAGACAATCCGACCTTTCAGGGGCTATCTGCTACCTGACCCGGCCTTGGATCTGGTGTAATAAGTAAATGATTAGGTCTTATGCATGTGGTACAGCTTTTTTCTCAAGGCTCGTCTGTTCCGAATTATTGCAGGCAGATCTTTTTAACAAGACCGAAAACAAAAGCGGGTTTAGATTATTACATCAATTCGCTTTAACAGTGCAAAGGAAGGCCGCGATTCTAGGACGCCATCGTCGATCGTTTGACCGATTTTGTTGTTCAGGAGATTCAGTCTTATTTCTCGCTCTGCTTGTATCCTTGGCAAAGCGGTCCAAAACAGTGAGTCAAAGGCCGCTTAAAAACCTATAAGACCTGCAAATATAGGTTGCTAGACTTCGCCAAAGCCCGCTTGATGGCGACTGGAGCAGCGTTGAGCACGCATCATCAAGCGGTTCTGTCTAGATACATATCATTCTGTCGGAACTACTACTGACGCTTCCACAAGCTGATTGAGCTTCCTTGTAAGAAGCGACGACAGGAGGTTTTAGCGCGCACTTTTTTGACTCTGCCCCACAAAAAAATCGACTGATCAGGCTCATGTTGTTTTTCAACATCATCAAGAAGATGGTTTGGGAGTTTGTGCATTCGGTAAATAACACCTCTAGTGAGGGGCCATAAAGAGCTCATTCTTCAAATATTCGTTTTCGGTTAGGTCGAGTCCCGCTGCTTTGTTAAAGAGAGAAGATGTCTTGAACCGAAAGGTCATTCTTCAGATATTTTCACTTGTAGGTCACGGTCTCCTTTCGGACTCCTATGATCTGACGAATCTGTTTTAGACTACCGTCATTTGCCTCGAACATATCCTCGAAATCTTCAATCTAGGTAGGCACATTGATTGGGCGTGCAGGCGGTTTTCGACGAAAAGGCCACTCAGAAAGACAACTCTTTTTTTTACTTTTTTTTTTGGCTTTTTTTTACTACTTGACATAATTCTATCTGTGCGAAGCCAAGATACTGGTAGGTAACATGGGCCCAAAGGGGCTTCATCACGCGGGCACGTATTAACAACAACTTTACATATTATGTGCGCTATTTTAGTTGACTAGCAAGACATATTGAACTAAGATCATTATAGCGGTTTGAGCAGACTGAATAAAGAGTTGACTGAGGATATCGATATGACGGAGGATAAACAGGTGGTTTTTTATGGCTCAAAATTGGAAAGATGCTGAAGCTGATGAGGCAGCACCCGAAATTTACCAAAGTTTGTCGGCAGGCTGACGTTTATTTTATCTCGAAATCATGTAATAATAGTAGTATTGCAACAAAATCACTTCAGCAGTATAATGCGGAGTGACAGGCTTAGGGTGATGAGATGATGCGATAAGTAACAAATTAAGTACCGTAAAATCGTGACGAACTAACTAGAGCACTGTAATTAATTGACTGTATAAATCACTGGTAGTAAGCTCGCTTAAGTTATATTGGAAAATGTAATACCAAATAGTTCGCTAAAGTCCAGCCCCTAAAACATTAAATAAAAATTGAATGGCAAACCGCACCATACAAAATTCAATAGTTTCTAATTATTGTATAAAACAAACAATTAATTACTTACCTAGCTCCTCCTTTACGTACTTCGAGTTCACACTTTATTTCTACCATTGGTAAAAACAATTCTAGCTTAGGTTAGTTATGCAGATTTCAGCAAGTTCTAAAGTTTTTTTTGTATTATAATAAAATAGAAAAGCTAACAGCTATAAAGATAATTACCGCAAGATCCTGTTTTCTCGGTTCACATTACGGTCTATGGGGGCGTCTTTGCAGAAACACATAAAACCCTTAAGAACTCTAGGTGTTCTTAGATGCGGTCAAAACGAGTGTAAAAAATAGATAAAATGACTCAGATTATACCGCTATAAAATTAACGACAAGATTAGTCTAAGTCCTACGTATCAAATCTTAATTGTGTGTCACATGTACAATTTTTTCTTCATGTTGACATATTTTGAGCTATTGCAGGTTTATTTGCAAATAAGGCTTAATTCTTTGTTATTTTTATTATATAAAAATGGGAAATGTAGGTACATTGCTAAACTTCGGAAATTTCGAAAATGTCTCCGTGAAATTTTTAATTTAAAAAAACTGCTTAAATTTGGTAAGCTCTATATATATAATAAACATTAGTTATATGACTAATAACGAACGAAATAAATAATGACAAAAACAGATTTCATTCCTTAAAAGAACTTACAACAAAAAATCTAACAAAACAGGAAATGTCCATTTTGGATCTGTCCTTCGAACAAGCCTTTCATCCTGCTTTTTCGTAAACAAATCGGAGTTAGTAGTGGACTATAAAACTTTTAATACTGAAACTTCGGCATTATCAGAAGATGCGCAACGCGCTTGACTCTCATCCTTATTAGCCCAATGTGGTATCATTATATTTTGGTGCCACTACTGCGACCTATCACGGCATCGTAGTTGTTATTTTTGGCTTTCGTCGTCTTTTTCTTCCCCTTCGGCAACTGGAATAGATGCTTCGTAAGACTCTATTCGGAGTGAGAGAAAGTAAATAAGACCTCAAAGACTCCCAAACGTTTTCAGGGCATAGTCATCATCCTAGGTAACGTTCGTCAAATAGGAGGAAATTAAGCTTTTATATCACTTCTCTACCTGTGCAAGGACTTATAAAAATTTTGAGTTTGAGCGAAAAATCTGTTCGCAGTTTTTCGCTGACCTGATTTATTCAATTAAATATTAAAAAAAAAAAAAATATGTTACAGCTTCTCTAGGTGGATCTTCATCTTATTTCAAAACAAAGACATAGTTTTTGAAATAAGATAAGACTTGTATTTTATTCAGTTATTATATTGACAATTTCAGTTGGATCTTCAGTTTATTAGCGTTTTCATTACGACCTACTTACTCTTTTACTATACATGACTATTTTTGTATTTTGCCTTTAACATTCCGTTTATCAAATAACTGTCGTCGTCTTCTTCATTACAATATTTACTATATATATATATATATATGCGCTTCAACTACAATGTACTTATTTATATTAGTATCAATCTATTGTTCTTATAGAATTTTTACAAGAAGGACACTTTTAAAGCCCAAGGGCTCTAAGAGCTAGCGGCTGGGCTGCGAAAAGCAACCGTTTACTGACGTCACTCTTAATCATTCATGCAGAAGCACACATTATGTCAGCTTTTTGCGTGAGCTTTGGCTGTCGGCGTGTTATGGCTGCTCTTCTGGCAGACACACTTCTATTTGTGTGCTTGTTTTATCGATGCATGCTCATTAAAGCGAACAATAAATGACGGTTTGTTATGATGAGTTTGTATGCGGTGCCAACCTAGAATTGCAGTCGTTCTTAAACGTTAAACGTAACAGAGTTTATTATATTGGTTGTACCGGGAGTCCAGTGACGGGTCGAAGTTTGAAAAATTAGTACAACCATACCCTTTTGGGGAACGTATTTGCATACATAATAATCTCAAATACCGTATTTTCTGTCGTGTCTTCTGCAGTATTATCGGCACGTACCAGCTGTGATGTGTCTGCACCAAGGAACCTCAGTTTGACGCCGACTACAGGCGCCTACCAGTAACGTTTAGGGTTTCGCGTTCGGTCTAAGCGGCATAGAACGATTTGCCTTTTAGCAGACCCGTAGTAGCAATTGTACATGTTGCTGTCCGTATAAACTCAGATCCTCACAAACAAGCCGGTACTTTGTCTATCAGTTTATACGTCTCTTTGTTTTTGATACGTAAATATTTGTGCAGAGTTGAAAACTCAAGTTTGTTTATTTACTAGATCAATGTTTTATTATAAAATTTTACATTACAAAGAAATTATTTACGCACAAATTTCATCCGCACAATTCAGGGCTAATAGTGTGTCTTCGTGTGCCTTTCTTTGTGTCAACTATTTTATCAAAGTAAACATTAAATATACTGAATGTAATAAGATAGCATTGTTAGATATAAATTTAGAAGAATTCTTATCGGAATTTTTCAAGTGGTGACTCTAGATATGAACGTGGGCTTCTAAGCTTAGTTTTCGTTGGTTTCGCCAGATGCTCTTCGTATTGAAACGGTTCTATTTCATGGGGGGTAGATTATGCATTATACATATGTATGTATATATATATATATATATATATATATATATATATATGTATATGTATATGTATATGTTTATTTATACAGCCCTTTTTTCACTCCAGTTGGAGAGAGCTGACTTGTGACGACGGACTGTGTTGCTGCTGCTGTTGTTGTTGCTGGGACAGAGCCCCCTGTCCACACTCAGCGACGTTTATCGAGCTGACCGAGATGTCAAATAGATCAAGCACCTGCGAGTCTCGAATGTGCACGTTATGCACGCATCCTCTGAAATTGTTCTCGAATCGACCAGCGGTCATTTTCCGGGGTTCAGGAACTCCGCCAAGGTAGATGTCCCCCTCTGAAATAACAGCAACGGATGATTGAACCAATCATTTATTTAGTGCGCCATTCATTCTCGGCTAGTTGATCGGGCGATCTGATGCCCATGGGCTACGATCTTCAAAACTCGAAAAGTCGAAGAGTTCCACTAAATCTACCTGTATTAAGCATGACAAGACTCCCAGCCGAACTGCCAGAAAAGTCCACTCCGTCGACATTGAGTCTGCCCTCACGTTCTCGTCGCCAAAGTTGTGCCGTATGTAGTTCACCGTCATCTACTCGCACATCGGAACGAATTACGGCAGCCCCACTTCCCATGTCGTAGCTGGTAAATTAAAATCACATTTAAACAAATAATTAATTATTAACGTACTATTAAAGCAAGCGATATAGTCCTGTAATGAATAATGGCTTTTCTCTCTGTCAATATGTCAAACTTCCCTGGCCCAGTGGACATCGTTTGCCATGTGAGATCATCATCAATAAATATGATACGACGCTTTTTTTTTGCTATTATGTTCGGCAGTATCATTACCTAGCTACACAAGCGATAAGTTCCTCCTCTAATTTACTGGTAATCACTTCCTGGCCGACGAACTTCAACTAGACGGGAACAACGATACAATCTCGCTTCGCTATTTTGAAGATGAACATTTCAGACTATACAATATATTGATTCGAGTCTTGTTTTCTGCACTTACGTGTACATAAGGAACCCGTCTGCGATAACTAAAGCAAGATAATCACTTAATTTGGCGTCGGTGTCTTCTGGCTTTGGACCATGGAATAGAAGTATGCCATCACGCTCCGTGGTGCTAAAACTCAACTTAACCTTTGGATAGCAACGGCAGAAAAAAAGTTAGTTGATAACCTTTTTGCCACATGCGAGTAAACTGTTGGTATCATATAGTACATGTCATAAAATAACGCTATTTTGGTGACCGACATAGTCTCGCGAGTCGTGTGTTTTACTCTTCTATATAACGTACAGCTTTTTTTTAGCCGCAATCATTCCGTAAAATTGTGTGTCGCCAGTGAGACTGGAGGCAAAAGCGCTTCCTTTCTCCTCTCTGTGAGTCTGTTCTTTTTCAATACGTCTAATCACGGTTCAATAAATTAGCGACAATTTTTTGGCGTTAGAATAGCTCCATCAGCGAGCTATTCCCTACCGTCTCTTCATCTTTGTGGGACAGATGCGATCGGTCTAATTGCAGCCATCCGTCCCCGGCAAACTGTGCACTTTGATGAAAATCGGCAATCTGATCACAGCGTCGACCTGTATAACCTTTTGGGCATGCACACACAAATTCCGACGCGTTTAGCGGACGGCATAGTGCCCCATTCGCGCATGGCTCTTCACGTTGGCAAACGGAGTCTCCGCGCTCGCAGTTCGGACCTTCGAAGCCGGAGCGGCAGATACACTCGTAATCCTGCCGATAAGGTATAAGCAATTATTAACATTGGAACTTTTGCAAACTTAGGAAATATTTCCAAAAATCGCGAAAATACGGTCAACGTAAATATGTAACTAGATTTAGAGTCATGGACAAGCTCATACCGTGGGTATTATTACCTGAGAGCCAGCGCCCCGTTCACGGCAAATGCCCCCGTTGAAACAGGGATTTATATGGCACGGCGCCCGTCCACCGCAGTCCTCAACGTTAGCAGATGACTCTACGGAGGACGTCAGATCTAAACTAGCGCCATTTACCTTAACCTGCGAGTCATAGAAGCAGCATCACAAAAGATTAGATTTCGCAGCACCTAAATATACGACCACTATCGTACGTTACCCGATATAGGAACTGTTCGTATTTTGATATAGAAACAATAAACGTGGCTGTGTGTACGTGCTCAGTAATTAATATTTTTGAACAAATTTTTGCGCTTCGGCAGTTGGGTCAAAATATGCATAATTAAAAGCGTCAGCGACTTATTCAGGTTATTTCTGCCATATAACGTACAATAGGTTCCTCTAGAGGTGATAACGAGAACCTAATGTTACTGTTTTTTTTTTTTTCGTTAGTATGATTATTAAGAAGAGTCTCTGCTCAAAGCACTTGCTATAGAAAAAGTAACTGAAGGGAGCTTTGATTAGGAACCACTTGACCATGTCTTTTAGATTTTATTTATAGGCTTCTTCAGCTGAGAAAGGACTTGCCACGACGCCCGTTAATGCTGCGCCTCATGAAGTTCTTCATACTAACGAGGTCAGCCAGTATCAAACGAAGTGAACCCTAGACCAACTGTTAACTAGCTTGTGATGCTTCGCACAGATTCGCGTCATACATTAGCTACAAAAAGTGCCTGTTTCCCGCCTGCAATTTTCGATAGCGTACAACTTTAGGAGACGATCACTAGAATAAGAAGTTAAAGCGTGCAATTAGAGAAATCAAAGCTAAGTTACTGTATGCGTATTGGATCAAACCGATCACCAACAAAAACAACCGGAAACCTTACGCGTAAGAGAAGGAAAAGGGGTAATAACTTCGTTATTAGTTATTATTAAAATGTTAATTGTTGCTCTGGCGCAGTTGAGCTGTAGTGTGAATCGCGTACATGAGCGATACAGCCTTCGAACCCGGCAAGCTGTGAGGGTGCTGCTACATCGGGATGCAGTCGGACCTTATCTCGAAGAAGTCCGCCCACATATAGGGGCAAGCCCAGGTCAAGTCCTTTTGTATGACCTTTACTCGTGCCCGCATAGCGCGTACCCTGCGTTAATGCAGAAACAATAACATACAGAAGCAGAAGTGACTGATGTCGCCAAATGTACTTGCTTAAAAATTATCTTAAAATTATCATTTTTGGTGTAGGCATTGTTTTATAATAATTTTCGCAAAACTTTTTTTCAAAAATTTTGCAGAATTATGTTGTCACCATTTTTTTTTTTCATTGATTTTGGGGTCTCACCAATCTCATAAGCAACTAAGCATTTGACTTTATCACGTTTGTGAAGACTGACATTAGATGAGCTGCGATTTTATTGCTTACCCGAACGACGAGCTGGCCACTTTTCGCCATAGTTGATATTTCAACAGGCACCCATCCATTGGGCAAGAGAGTTTCTTTGCTTTTTATAATGGTAACACCTAGAGCCGTATATTTTAACCATACTTTAATATTAGAACACCTGTACTCAGTGGAAAACGTATCGAACTAAGAATTTCTCTCTGTAACAATATTTTCTATCTCTACGTTCTCTAAAGGCCATATTTAAAGCTGGTCTGATCCAAGGTTGACTAATTGTTTGACCGGCTCATCATGAGCTTACCTGAACCAGTGTTAAAACGGAACTCCAGTGTGGCATTCCGGATGGCCAACGCGACAAAGTCTCCATGCCCATCAGCATTCTGCGCAGAATAGAGCACAATTGAATCTCTGGCAACATTCCGTGGCCGGATTCGTAGGCTCACATTGAATTTGTCCTTGTGTCGAGCGGGTAGTCGGTAGGCTATATACGAGGAATCGTCGCCCTGAATCAGAAGCAGGAATGAGCAGTGAATAATATGCGTACATCTTATCTTATATATATTTAAACATCAGCCTTGACTCGTAATGCTTTTCTCCGAAGAGCTCATCTGAGGCAACACAGTACTAAACGATATACATAATCTAACATATGTACCACTATGGAACGTATTCTCTAAGCGTTATTTTTTAGCGGACTAAATATGTACTACATAGGCTTTTTTTTTTTTATTTACTACTATAAAGCTGTGACAAGTTACTCAACGAATCAATGGATACAGTCAATGTGTATTTGTAACAATTGGAACAACAAGTTTCAATTGAAACTTAATAGTAAACACAAGAAAAATAGTTTCTAATTCCAAACTACTCTACCTGTGCTATTTAATCCAAGTCACATACAAGCAAGCTCAATACTACGACAAACCTGGAAAGATGGCTCTACGATGGTAACGCTTTGTTCGCAACGCAGTCCGACGCGTCCAAATGGACAGAAACAATCAAAGCCTCCACGAGGCCGATTAACGCACATACCCTCGCCACATACTCCGGGGTAACAAGATTCACCTGTAACGGGCAGTACTTGCGTTTATAGTGGTGCGCCCCTGCTAACTGCAATCGTTACTTAGCCCTCAAAAGTGTTTTTTCAGCCGTTAGTCAGCCTGAACTTTTTTTAGTCAGGATACACTAACGCCATATGTACATGCATTTCAATTTGGTGCTCCTTTGTAACGATACATGCATATGAGTCTGCAGAAGAATACACATCACCTCACCTCACCCCTGAGAGATATAAGGAGTAAGTTGTGATATAGTCTATTCAACGAGTAACGATAGGAGATGATCGATTATAGTACATAGTGAATGCCACTTTCGGCCTGGGCTTGAGACATCTCGCTCTGTAAGACTGACATTTGCAAGAAAGGCATCAGCAAGGTATACTCTGAAATCTAGCGATGCTTCGTTAGCAACGTGCACGAGTAATCTGTCTGTTATTAAGGGACAAGTTGACTGCTAGCTCCGACAGCCTGTAGCGTCCATTCCGCCAACCGCTGTGATTTGTTACGTGGAGCCTGACTTTCTGTGCGTGTCGACACTGTGGCAATCGTACTTTGGACAATTTGGAGCTCAGTCGATTATCTACTGGGTAGTTTATTATATGTCTGTCAAACCTGGCAGGTGTATGTACCTATGGTTACTGCAGGAGTCATAGCTTCGCGATAACGATGTGGTGGGAAGTAAAGTGTTGGCGAAATTTACATCGTCCGCTCATCCTGACACTTGCCCTGCTCCTCGTCCAAGGTAGCTGGGTTTTCCTGCTATTGAACTAGAGTGACCCACCGTCGAGCGAGGACTTTTCTTGCCGTCCTACTCAGCTGATAGGGAAGCCTATCGCTTTTCAGGCTCACCGGCCAGCGACGCGATCTGAGCGACCGTAAACGATTTACTCCCCACTCAAATGGCGTGAACGTGTTGAACGTTTCTTAGTTTGTCATTGTTGATAGTTTGTAGTTGGATAACTGATGGATTACTCGTCTAAGGAGAGAGTAAGCATTTTCGGTGTTGCCATACAAGGGGACATATTTTCCATAAGTTTTCCGATAAGAAAATCCAGAATCTTAGTTTCCAGCTTTGTTTGCTTTTCTGACACTCGACAACAAGATAGGCCCTTCTATTACGAATAGCCTTCTGATGATAGTTTGTATTGCGTTAACTTTGTGTATCGCTAGGTGTGGTCGCTGGTAGACGTCGGCCTTATCCAGACGAGACGTCGGTTGATTTCGATAGCAAACAAGAGAGTAAGAAGCACGCCGATGAAATTGGGCCTTCCGATCTACAGTCAAGACGAGTTCCTGTCTCCGATATCGTACAGGAAGGATCGGCAGACGGGACGCACAACGCCCGGCATCCGAAACTGCACACGACCAAACGCGCGTTCGCTAGTGTCAAGAAAGATAAATTTATGGCTGAAACAGGATTTAGTTTAAAATTGGCTGATCAGTCAATCGCGTTGAAAAGCTCTCGCGACTCAGCCACAGTAGTATCAAAAAGGAATAAGAATTTGACTGCTGACGCAGCTGAGCGCTCGAACAATCACGCCGGAGTAAGTTCCTTGTCATCGTCAATAGGCTCGTCAAAGCACAATGGTTCATCAATACGCACGGGTACTATTCAGTTGAATATGCCCAATTACGATTTCGAGGATAAGAACATAGGTTCGCTCGTGGATCTGAGACCGAAACCGAGGAGTCAGGAACTAGCCCGTGACATAGTAAGACCTTATGCCAAGGACAGTAGCTCAACTGAGGGCCCACACGAAAACGGAACTAAAAAACCAAGACAGGAGGTAAATCTTGATATCCGTCGTCGGCATACATAGTTTCTTGTTAAGTCACCTATGAGATTTCAATTATGAGGTTTGTCGACACGCACGCAGTATATGACACTATATGCTTTTAGCGCCAAAGGGCCGGTTTCACAGCACGAGTGTTATTCCACCAATAAAACGACAGTTATATCCTAATTTACGTTTAGCAGGATAGAATAGGCAGATGCCTTGAAAAATGAGAACTCTATTCTTCCCTTCACCCCCCCCCCTCCGTGAAATCGTTGCTGGTCCCCGATCTGTCTGTAAAATCTTGTGCGTATATATGACCTGTTGATCCTTTGATATTCCAGGTGATCTATCTCACACCCACTCAGAAGGTACTGCTTTACGTTTTGTTAGTTGTATTTATCTACACTGTGATAGTGACCTTGTTCGTCCATTTATACTGCCTTTACAAATGTTGCGTGTCAAACGAGGACGAAATGCTTTGAGCAAGCAAAACCTAATGTGAATGGCGTTGATGGCAGGGCAAGTAGCTTCGGTACTGAAGGGGCTATACGTAACCGTCCGGTACCGAACAACTAATTGGTTGTACTTGTTTATTAAATGAAAATCTAATCCCATCGGTATAAGAGGAAAAAAACACGACCATTCAATATCAGCAGCGAATGCAGTGGTAATGGTACGACGGTTCTGAAGATTGTTCAGCAGGAACGGACTAATTAAGTGAATTTTTATGGCCCTTCAACAACACAAGAAATGTTATAATAAAGAATGTATTGCTATAGTGTCTGTAGGGTAGTGGAGCTGCACGTTGACACGCGCACGTGCTAGCACGATGCGTTACTTTTGTATTTCTAGAAGTGCATGCGAACAAGTTCTTTAGAAATGTCCTTTTCGCACTTGCCTCTGTCTAATTTGTTCACATACCGAGCCTATTTTGCCTTTTTAGTTTGGTGCTTCGTCACGTTTATTGTTCGTAAAATATAGCGTGTTTGCCGGACTGGATTATATGGCATAAATGTCTGTAGGCCTTTTTAAGCGATACATTCTGGAACAGGACAGCATACAGAGCGAAACAACCAAAATCCACTTTCAAAAAATGATGCTGCAGTTAAAAATATTGCCTCAGGTAGGTGGCTGCGTTGTCTTCGTCTGCAGTAACTCCCACCGGGGACGCTGTAGTCGCTCATAGTTTGAGTGTGTGTAATACCGTGAACTGTTAAAAATGACGCACCTTTAAGTGTACTCGATCGTTTTTTATTCATAGACCATTAAAAGGTTTATTATTGGATCATTCAGTAAACTAGAAATAAGCAATTTCATTTTCTGGGCTCGGCAGAGATCATGAGATGCATTCCCTGTGCTGTAATAGTTAAAAAAAATTCATAGCAAAAGATGTTACAACAGGACTGAGAGCGACGACTGCGTCCTATTACAAATCAAGCACTTCATTATAAAAGCCTAAGAGTCGTCTTGAACACGAATCGCTTAGTCTTGAACAGGTCATAGGTTAGATTAGTCATAATCGGATGTCTTAAACGTAGGCACCTATCTACACCTATTAGGCTACCGTTGCCTATGTTTACCTAAAAATAGGGTCCAGAACGCACAAATCGGCAAATAATATTGCCGAATATGAAGCCTAAAAGGCCGAATTTGATTGATTTTTTTGTTATTGACTTGTTGGTCGGATGTTTCTGCTTGGCAGGCGACTGATGACACTAGCGATTTTGCTTAATCAAAACTCTAAACGGCGAAAGATCGAAAGATTAAATAAATAAATAAACTGCTCAATAAACTGAGGCAACTTTGGTCGTTTACCTGTGTGCAAACATGTGTCTCCCGTAAAGCCCGGAATGCATAGGCAGCTGTATCCGGCAGGTGTTGGTGCAGGCTGGCAGACCCCGTTGTTGAGACACGGGTTGAGGGCGCACGTGTCGCATTCAGTCACTCCTTCGGAAAATTCTGTTCCGGTGCCTTGTAAGGCAATCTGACGAACCCCCACAACGAGTTCGCTGATACATCCTTGAGCCGAAAGCGGTATAATAGAATGCGAAAATGAAGTCGGAACTTCAAATATTACATACATAAGTAGTTCAAACAAATAGAAACGCTTATAGCTTAAACTCTAAGTAACGCTTCCATTTCGCAGTGCATCGCATGTTATTATGTATTATGTGATTTTAAGAGATTCAGAATCATACCGATGAAACCGCTTGTGAAGCCATTTGCCTTCGAAATATTGCGAAAATCCGGCACTCCACCTAGATAGAGTGGAGCACGCAAGTCTAAGCCGGTCATCGGCCCTCTGGAGTTTCCTCGTATCTCCGGGCCTGAATCAATTTGCAGATGGCCTTCCCGCAGTTGGCGGCCAAATCGTACCAAATGCCATTTGTCCGTTGTGATGGGAAACGGTGAACGCAGTAGACCCGGGCCAGATCCGATGTCGAAACGGAACTCAATGTATCCGTTCACAAGGCCAAGAGATATAAAATCAGCTATAAAAAGACATCGAAACATTCTCGATTAAGAGTAAGATCACTTTTTCGTTTTTTTTTCGTGTTGCACTCTTCTGTGTTTTCGTAGACGAGGTTTGCGTTTATGCTCAAGCGAGCTGTATAAGCTCGAATTCACACAGGTAGCAAGCAGCCCGTGCTTCGAGCGCATTTGTTTTTGTTAATGATTAGTATGCGTAAGTTGTTCTTACTGCACCTGTGTCTACGTGACCCTCGTTTCCGTTATAGAGAAGCAGCCCGTCCAGTTTATCAGCCCGGAATCGAAGTTCAATATCAAATCGTTTATATGCATCGGGAATCGCCGGCAGCCGAATATATGATCTGAAATCGTTTATCGAAGTGGCATACCCGTTCAATTAGATATCGGCGGTCTGCTTAGTCCAACTCACGATAGAGTTGGACTAAGCAGATGTTATTCTACGTCGTTTTATACTGTAGTCGGATGAGTGAGACGTTTTTGTTAACTTATTATTAAGGCCACTTACCTTGGCGCTTGGACAAAACGCGGTAAAGCGCCGGTAACTACCACGTGGGTGGGCACCTCTAATCGATAATTTTCATTTCGGGCAATGCAGATATACGTTCCTGCGTCGCTAGGAGCCGCGTCAGCTACGACAAGTAACTCGTTTCGGGTCCGTGCTTCTTTACGGCGTAACGACCAATACATCGTGAACACAACAACTTAGTAGGCGAAATCGTTAGACTTCAACGAAAGCGTGAAGTTAGTTCTATGGCATGAAATCGTTGCTGATACTTTTTAGCTTACTTACTCGACGGTAGCTTCCCCGACGGTAATTTGGTCCAGGTGTACGACACAGGCTGATCCAAGGACGAATTACAAATAATTTCGAATGAACCTCTGACTTTAACGTGCTTTACATCGACTAGATCAGGATCCAGCGTAGGCATTTCTGTTTAAAGAGTTGTTTGATATAATGTTATCCATAAAAGTACTCTTTAGCGATTTACGTTATCGAATCTATGATAACTATTAAAATATATAAGTTATCAATTAACTTATTTTTCTTTTTCTTTCACCTTGCTATGTTTTTTAGGTTCGTTGTAATAAGTAGCAGATTTTCGTTAATGGGCTAGTTAGGGCTAGTTAGTAACTAGGCTAAGTTAAAAAGTGGCCAGAGTTTAACAGAATATACTTACCCGTACGTTGTTCAGATAATGCAATTAGTTTGCCAGAGTAGGGCATGCAATGTAACATAAGTGAACATTTAATTAGCCTTATATTCCTTTATATATTTAGCTTTATATATTATATAAAAATGATGTTAAGGCACATTATTTCGTATTTCAGTTACATTGTCTTGTTAATGCTTTGTATTGTGATTGGTTTCATGTGATTGTCCGTGGTAAGCGAACGCATGCAGACCTCTTAGGACCTTTTTGCCAACTATTGTTCAACAACCTACTTCGTCCTTACGCGCAATTCTCTAACCTAGTCTAAATGATCTATAACGTAACTTAGTATGATTTTTGGTACAAAAGTAACTCGCTCGCAAGCTAGCGTTAATGAAATTCAAATATTAATGCTATTCAGTGAAGAACTATACCTAGATCTGATTGATCGTATCTAAGGCTATAATATAGCTGAACGAATCAGAAGCAAATTTAGACCGGAAATCTCATGAAGAGATGGATGTCCAGATGCTCAAAAAGATTCCATATATAATTTGTTCCGCGTTGGAGTACGAAATTTTGCTCGTTCGTTAGAATAGGAGACGTTTTAAAATCGTTACGGATTGAAAGGAAGAACACGATAAACGATGAGTTATCTCTGTGAGCGATAATTTTGAGGTTATTTCAGACCTATTGGATTTTGATAGCTGTTGGTATCTACTTTATAGGGCCCCATTTTAGTTTTTCAAGAAAACTAAGTGACTGCGTCGAACTGCGTAGCTAGAAAACTTTTTTCCTAAAAGCTCTATGATAGGTAAGACGTCGCATGTGTCACAATAGTTGTAGGGAATCTTTTCAGTATTACCAGTGGGTTTGCGCTTCGTGTGTCAAATGACTTACTCTGAATGGTGAAGACGTAGTCGCCATGGAAGGATCCCTCGGAATTTTCAACCAAACACCGGTAAACCCCGCCATTTTCGGAACGGACACGGTTTATCTGACATTATAGATCGAGATTAAACGCAGATAAATTGCCGATTAAGGTATTAGTTTTTATTGTGCGAAGTTAGGCCAACGAACTAACGAGCCAAAAATCATAACGAGCTGCTTCCGTAGTCAATTAACTACGACCTGATATCTTGAGCAGCCGCGAAGACACACAGGCATGCTCTGCGTTTCCTAGTATTGCATTCAACTTAATATGAAAATAATATCGGATTTATTTACAGTTAGCATACTGCCAGCGGCAATAACATTATCGGGTAGGAAGGACGCTCCTAGTCGACTCCAGAGGATTCGGGGACGTTGATGAGCTCCAGCTACGTGGCATAGAAGATCAACGGTATCTCCCGGAAGAATAACCTCTTTGGAGGCGCGCACAGACACCTCCAGTGAATTCGGTTCTATAGTAGCACACATGACAGTAAAGAAAAACTAAGGTAAAAGGTCAACTATGACTGGTAACAATTGATTACTCTAGTATCGTTCAATCTATTTTTAACATAGATACATAGGCATACCATAGGTTCAGATCTACTTCGACTAGACGATGATATTTGTGATAGTAAGTAAAGGTTTATTAATATGCAAAGATTCACTTTTGTTTCAACGCTATTTCTTACCTCGGACATTGAGGACGACGTAATCCTTGCCAAGGATCTGACCCTCCTTAGTCTGAGAAAAAGTTAGTACGTTATTATTACAATGTCCTGCTTTGTCAACATGAAGATATAAGTCAGACTGCCAGACCACGGCCTGTATTTCGAACAGCCGCTAAAAACTCAAATGCTTAAAGCCTTATAGACTTTAATGTCGCATATATTATGGCCGGAATGAAAAGCTTCTTCATTTCATTTGTCAGATATATTACTATATATATGTACCTTGATTGTGCACGAATAGCGTCCAGCGTCGCGTAGCGTAACGTTTGTAAATCGTAATGTGCCTCGATGAACTTTGGAATTTGCGGGCAGTGTCGTGAGAGTTGATGACCCGCCAGTGTTGCTTTCGTTAGGTGAAACTTCCCATTCAACGTGGCGCTCCACCGACCCGCTCGAAGGACATCGAAGTTCGACGGTGTTACCGACCAGCGCGGTCTCTTCACCTCGTCGCCCTGAACGAGGTTGTCCGGCTTTACTAACCAGAAGCATTGACGCCGCAGACGCGCGACCTGCGGCGTTTACAGCTGTGCAGCGATATCGACCGGCGTCATTTCGACGTACACCTCGCAATTCAAGAGTGTGACCCTGACCTCGAACTCGAGCTGTAACTGGCAGGAAATGTCCACTGTCACGTGACCAATGCAACGCAACAGGCGGATCACCCCAGGCCATGCAGCTCAGTCGAGCATCCTCCCCGGGTTGCACGCTTTGCTCAGACGGATTCACTGATATTCGTGGTGGACCTGGACAGAGTAATAGAAATCTATGTTTCAGTGTACTGTTATACGTTGAGGTGTTTATAACAATTATGGCTCTCGAATATAGGAGAAATTACTATGTTTGCATTGTATTATTATATATTACTGGTTTCTTTAGAAGAAGTTTATATAGAAATGTTCCACGAGAGTTGATGTATCAAACTATAGTGTGCCGTTGTGCAGTCCGTAAAGTGAAAAGCACTAATGCATTTATAACGCCAAGGCTAGCCTGAGTATAAATTAAGTTTAACTTTATTAGTATATGAATTGTACTAAAGTTCAAACTTAGTCGATTCACACATTTAATGTTGAAAATTCGAACAAACTTAGAAATCTTAACACAGATAATCTTAACTTTTCCCTCTTACCTCTAGCGTATACTCCTGAGAGCATGAAATGAAAAATATCTATGGCGTTAAACTTTGAACTGTTAGCTTTATTACTTCATGTACGTATTCTATAAGTAATAATGTTTCCGTCATAGATTTGACCATCTAACGCGTGATAACTTAGTTAGGAAGACCCACTAGGAACAGTTTGTAAGGTTGTAGTTATGCTATGAGACGCGATTCAGCAAAATTGCGTAGGGAAACATTCTACGTAACATACGGCTAGGACAACTGTAGCTCAAGTTAACAGATTACCTTGCTCTTTATAGAAAAAGAAAGACAACGCGATCACAAACTGTCGTTATATAGGTTCAGAGTAAGTGTATTTCAATGTCCGCTTGATACGTAGTTACATCATGATATGATGTTGGCGAAACAATGGCAGGCATATCGATAGTGCTGGATGAGGTCCTTCGATCCAGGTGCTGCACAAGGTTTTACCACGTTAAGTATCCTACGTAGTGTCGATATCGTGATTTCAAAAGGACACCAAAAGAGTGTGGGGTAAGACGCGCGGATAAAGCTTACCGACGATTGATAATTTCGTTGACCTAGAAAATAATAAGTGCTCTCCTTGAAGCGCACGACACTCGTATAGTCCGGCATCGTCTTCTACCGTTGAGCTGATATACACTCCACCGCCATCTGGAGACAATGTGACTCGTTCTCCGTCAGGTGCTAAGGGTCGACCATCCAATTTGTTCCACTCGAGTCTCAAAGGCTGGCTAACGGTCGCGTCACTATCCTCGCTACCGCTTAGACGACAACGCAGCTCAACGGATGCCCCCAATCGAGCTGAAATGACCTCGTCATCGACAAGCAGTTCAAGTACGCCGCTCGTTGCTGACTGGACTATTGGGATGAAACGAAAAACATAGGACGAAGGTGACTAGTTAAACATCCAAACCTAGTTAATCATTTATATGTATACACGGCGTTCAACGAAACGTACCAACTATAAAGATAATAACTGGCCAAAGTTCTGTGTTTATCCTAAGGTCCCATGAAAGTGTGTGATATGATCAAATTGGGTCTTTTCATTTGATGTATTTGTACATGTATGTGTATGTACGAATAAAGTAGATAACGTTATACGCTACACTAACTAGCGCCTCGATGCGTTTACATACTTTCTGGTCCAACACAAACCATGTTGGCTAATAGTCAAATTGGAGATCAGTAAAAAGGAAACAAGAGTTTGTTCTCCCGGTATCAGATGCACAACCGTAAGACCTGCAAGTGGCAATGTACAACATAAATGGGAGCATGTATATTACAAATGTATAAAATTCGTTACAAACACGACGAGATCCGCTGTGTCGATGTATTTATTTATGAAAAGGAAGACGAAATTATTCTTCTTAAGTTCTTAAGAAGAAATTCTTATGGACGTTTCGCAATCAGTATGAGTATGTGAAGTAATGATATTTCTATTGCAATTGAGTATCTTCGTTGACAACACTGAAATGAACACGAACCAATGTCCAGGATCGGCGATTACCACAAATTTCGGTATAAACAAGCACAGCATAGCACAGACTGTTTCTGTGGTTAAAGGGAGCAGTTACAACTAACGATATGGCGGCTCATTTTTATAGTAATTGACGTGCGGAATTACCTAGAGGCGGGATTAAGCATTAGGTTATGTCGGAATAGCAGGCGTAAATAGCAACACAAATGTAGTTGAGTAGAGGCAGCACATTGTTCTGCAGATTGGTAAGCTGATGTGTGTCTGGCTTCACATGCAGGTTACAGCCCCCGTGTTTCCGTGCACACAGCTATCGCTTCTTATTACGTTCCTTATTACTTGCGCATTGGCTCCGAATGATCGAATACGTCGTTTTTTTTTTTAAATCTATTTTATGTTATGTGTATGCATACTATGATGATAAACTGGAAATTACATTAGCAGTTGAGCTCGCAATTGTGATTTGCCAAAATCAGCTGGAAGCATGTAACATAGTCAACGTGTGAGATTTTCTCGTTGGTTCCGTGCGTAACTTGTTAATAATCTATTTTGTTGTACATTTACTTGGTTGTGGATTTACAAAATGTCACCTGAAGTGGTTCTTGTTAAATGATAAGAGTAAGTTCCTAAGGTCGAACATGTTCCTTTTAGGGAAGCCCTTCTCTTAGAACATAGTTCTAAACGCGAAACCACGCAATCGTCTCTGGACGATCTCTTCAAAGTTATAACTTGTAGCAGTATAACCTTACACAGGGTAATTATCATCGGCCCTGAAAGGCAGACAGATCCTGTAATGGACAACAATACAAATGCCGTCCTATCTAGCGCTCGCCCCACGCTGCAGCCTGAAAAAACGCAACGGCCAACTCTAAAACCACTCTTTCAGTTCATCTAAGAGATACATTGAATGAAACATGGCTTCCAGTTCGAAACTGAACCACAAGAACAATTGCACATATGAAAATTATGCTCTGCATCAGCCGCTCGTTTTCGATTCAGCAGGCCATGAGTTTAAGTTGGATTTTTTTTATCAGCTCTTATTATGGGGGACCTTTATCGATTAACTGGTCGTTCGACTCTGTTGGACTCTTTTCCTCGATGGGATGAAAGTGGGCTCGCAGTGGGGCGAGGTAGATGTCCGGCGTACCTATGACGAGCACGCTCTCCTCGACCACGTTCCTCTCACGCGGCTCGACTCCCTCTGGCAGTTCGCCTTGAGACTGTTGACCTTTTGGCAGTGTGCAGCATGAACATACGTAGTGGCCAGCGTCACTCGGGGCCACACGTTGAATAATTAGTGAACGGGTTGAGCCGTGCACGTCTTGGCTTGAGTAACTTGTTATAGCCTGGCCCTGTTTGCTCCAGCGAAGCATATGGCCGCTGGTAGTTGCTGATTGCGACAAGCCTAATAGGAGCCCGTCAGCACCAACCGACATAGCAAGACAGTCTAACCGGATCGGATCACCTGTTCGCACCGTGTACGGACTACGTTGAACGATCCGTAGTGATGGCACGCCACGAAGAGCTAATTGTCTCGATGCAACCATAATACCTAATGGATTTTCGGCTGTGCACGTATAAGTTCCGACCTCCGCTGCCGTGAATCGGTTAAACCTGCAATGGTCCAGGGAGGTGTCAGTAAACTAAGTTTTTCTCACTAGAATAGACCAGTTAGTCTAGATCAGTTACACTGTTTCCTGAAGATTTTCTTTTCGTCTTGAAAACGTTCGGCTTATTGGAAACTAAACTAGACTTACAACATTACTATCGAAAATCAATTGCCTTTTAAAACAGATCGAGACAAATTTAGAAGGTCGTACCGAAGAACACCCTCAACCGAGAGGTCAGCGCCAGAAGACAAAGGTGCTCCGTCAGCACGCGCCCATTGTAAACGGGGCGCAGGTACACCGCTTAAAACTCGACACTGCAATAGTACAGGTGAGCCTTCTTCTACCGGGTCCATATATCCTCCAGGGTAAATATCGACCTGCAAAGAAACGTTTTCAGTATCTCATGAAAACAACCTATGTCATAATTATATGCTGAGAATCCTGTGTAAAGCATACATTCAAGAAAGACGCAAGCAATTGCCTTCAACTGCAGTCCATACGTTTAATTGCCTAGTACGTCTTACGGGATATTTTTTTATTTAGTGAGCAATGTAACTGATATTTTGACCTCTGGAGCCGCGCGACGATCTACTTCAAGCAAGCTTGTAGCCTGGGCAGAACCCTCCCTGTTTTCCGCGGTGCACACGTACATGCCTCGATCAGACACTTCAACCTTTTCGATAATCAATTCGTCTTCCAAAGACTGAAATAGGAAGCGCGATAGAATCCAGTTCTACTAATTAATCGCACGAAGCCATCTTGGTTAAACTCATAATGCCCCTCGATGATTAAATTAAACGCTCACGAGGGTCAGTAATAATCAACATAAGAGGGGTGTTCTAAAAAAAACTTGTAAGCCTAAAATAGTAATAATATAGTTATTGGAAATATTGGACTAGTCAACAAGAAAGGTACCTATTTCGTTTTCATCGTTGTTTGACTTCGCTTCTTACAGACGCCTTCGAAAACACTGTTCAGGTTATTTTTACAGAAAACTTACCAAGTGTCTAAACGTAAGATTTGCCCCTATGCGGGTCCACGTGAGATAAGCAGACGGCTGAGCACGGGCTGCGCATCGTAGACGTGCATCTTCACCTTCCCGGACTGTCTGTCTTTCTGGTTCGATATGCACGATCGGGCTCGTGCGGTCTTCGAATAAATAGGCATAATTATGGATATTTTATTATAGGAAAAGACAAAATAAGAGCGCTCACCATGCTATCATTGGCAGTTATTTATAACTATCTGAAGCTGATTGCGTTTAGTGGCAACATCAACCCTAGAATTAGAGCCATGAATATTATTGGCAATAGTCTGACTAGAAGGATCTGCAATTCAAATGCCTTTTTAATAAACATCATTGGTTACTAAATCCATATGTAACACAAACAATTTTTCAGCGACCTCCTTTAAACAACCCTCAGCCTCCTCCCTTTAAACAACATGAGGATCAAAATTACAGATCAATGTAGAATAGAGTACATCGAATAGAAAATTCATCAAAGTAATACTTACTGGTAATAATGGAGATAACGGAGTCGACTGAAGCTGACCCGTACTTGTTATGTGCGGTACAGGTATAATTGCCCCGATTGTGCTCCTGAACGTTGTAGATAAGAAGTTTGCCACTTACCTTAAATACAGAAATAAACGACACGTATGGAATAGTTGTTCCAATATTGGAATGTCGTTCGATCGTTCAATAATGCAACGGTGTTTTGACTACTTAATGAGTCTTCAGTTTACTCGCGCATCCATTTTAAAAGGGTCCCTCATTGTACAGGCACAGCGAAGTGCGAGAGCTGACTTTGATGGAGAAACTGTAGCAATAGCCCTAATTAGTATTTTCCAAACAGGACACACAAGGGCTTTAAAAAATGTAAAAGTAAGTAGATAGACAAAGTTAGAAGCAGGCGTTTGGCTGGAAAAGTTTTACTGAGCAAGCCCCACAACGATGGCGTCGAATTGCATTTATTTCTCTATAGCCAGATAGGGTAACCAGACACGCGAACAAGTGTTAATTTGACCCCCAGAGGCATCTTTTTCCACAAATCACTTGCCACACAATGGAAAGCTAAGTATTATCATGCTGAATAATAAGCTTCGTTCTTACCAGCTGTGTATTATGTGGCAGCACTCCATGTTCAAATTCCCAGGTCAACTGGGGTGCTGGGTGGCCGGATGGGGCGCACTTAAGCCAAATATTCTCCCCAGGCAGGACTTCAACCGCAGAGGGACTCACTGTGACCTGAGGGGCCTGCGTAGCGCCTATATCATCTATACAATGCCAATATGACAGAAAAATGTTAAACAAATGCATGTTTACAGGCGTAATAATCTGGCCATGCCTGATCCAGATCGGATGAGCACTACTACTCATGTATGTGTTTAATGAGTCAAAGAACATTTGAAACACTTCCACACGTCGCGAAATGTCGATACTTTCCTAGCTTGAAATGAACGCTGAAAAGCTGTACGTGGGTAAATCAGAAAGGTTTTGGACTATCATGTATTTCCATTAAAATGAACAAGTTTTAGCCTGTTTCGAATGAAAGCCCGGCTTACTGTAATTTTACTATGTCGTCAATACTTAGAAAGCCTTCAAAGGACACACAGCTCGAGCTCATTATATCTCAAAGAAGAATAGCAAAAATGACTGAAGAACGTCTTTTTGTGTCCTATTTTTTGTAGATCGAAGTCATGGTGCAGATCAAATATTAGTCATTCATAGATACCAGTCCAGACACCTTTCGCTTAGCACCTGTATATGCGTCTCTAAACATAATATCATAATTAAAAAAAAAAAAAAAACTTTTAATGTTCTTTGAAATGGAATGATGCGACCGGAGATGTGTATCGATAACGTCAGTTTTCAAATATAACGCGCCGACTACGGATACATTAAACGAGAAGGAAGTAACTTCATCAATCGAATAACCTCCTGCTCCGTTTTGTTCACCCAAAGTTCTCCACTTACCTCCACGAACGAAAAGGACAGCCCGCGCCCTATGCGAACCGGCGACGTTAGTGGCCAAGCAAAAGTATTCAGCTTGATCGGAGCCACGGGCGGACCCGATTCGAAACGATCCATCAACGAAGGTTGAGTCGGGCGAAAGAAGCCCATTACCCGCCTTTTCCCATCGTAATTCGGGCACTGGATGCCCTGAGGCAATGCAGCGAAACGTCACTGGCTGACCCGCGCTAACCTTTAAAAACCTGCAAAGGGACGACGTCAGTGAACTGCTTCCGAAAAAAAACCCTATATGTTTGTAATGTCATACCAGTATCAATGACTTTCAATCTGATATTAACGCTTTGGCATCAAGGATTGTGAATAGTTGGAATTAGGAAAAATCTAGGGAATTAAAGTAGCATTTATTGTTGATTGCATTATTATGTAATATATCTACCCTCTGTTGTCACTCAGTGATGACCCAGTGAGAAGAATTATAGTGTACACTCAACTATACCAATTCTGATATTAAACTCACTGCGGATCGATGCGAACGCGTGGACCAATGCGGGTTTCAAGTCCTTCTACAATTAGAAAAGCGCTGTCCGACAGAGCGGGGTTGCTCAGTAAGGTATCTGTGCTGTGTGGGTTAGGGAACATTGGCAACGTTGGACCTAGAATGTGAGGCTGTGGCCCAAAGCCTGGTAAGGCAACGGAGCACATATACGTGCCGTTATCATCCAGGCGGGTATCTACGATTGTCAGCAATCCTGAAGCATCGGTTGCGCGTGCTGGGAGCGGTAGACCTCGCTCTCGGCTCCAAAACACTGAGACTGGCACCTGTGAAACAAAGTTTGATCCATTGATTGTTCTACTCCTATAACAGAGGCGTGATGTTACACAATTCTATCATAAGAAACTTATTCTACTCAAGCAGCTTGTACTACTGATGCGATATATAAGGAGGAAGAAACAAAGCGCATAGTAGTTTTTACTAATAAAAGCTGATTATTTAATTGCTAAATCTTTTTGCTGCTTTTACTACTAACTAGAAAATAATAATAATAAAAACAGAAATTTTTTCGTTATTTACAGGTGTGTCTCAGATCAAGTAGACTATATCAGCAGTACTGTATTAATGTGTGGTTCATCGATATGCCAGAATTTATTACTAACGTTAGATCTTCCGTAGGCATTGCATCTTAACACGGCAGTTGCTCCTGGGGCGACACGTAGAGTTTTGGGCTCGTGGACTTGAACGCGAACGAAGCTTAGTGGGTTAGTGGTATCGTTGTTCGCGTGCTTTACGCAATGATCCCCCAGCCGAAGTGGGTTTCCGATATAGCCTGTAGAGCAAGTCTCGCAGTTGCGGCCAGAATATCCGATAGGGCACGCATTACACGTAGCCTGACCGTCCGTGTCCAAAAAGCACGTCTTTGAAAATCTGAACATTTAGCAAACAAACGAAGTCGGAGTCAGTCGTTCAACTAAAACATTCCCACGGTTTCTGCTTGTTAGTTACGGCGTTAGCTCAAAAAGAAAATGCTATTAAGCTTAGTCAGTCATTTATTATTGCTCAATATCGCGTGTTCATTGACAAGCTAATACTCAAAACCATACTGCATCGTATAATACTACTTCGACCAGTAACTTTTTTTACTATGTTGAATGATAATTCTGATCAGGAATAAGTTTAAGCGTAAACTTACTGATTAGAGGCTTGCATATGAGGGCATGGACAGGGCTTGCAGTCCTCGGGGGTGCCAACCGTGGCGTCCCCGTAAAAACCCTGCTTACAGCGATCACAATGGCCGCCCGCTGTGTTATGTCGACATCTCTACAACGATGCGGAGTGTATGGGAAATGTCAAGATATCTTTAAACTTATTAACTAAATACATTCCTAAAGCTTCTTCTTTACGATATACCCGAAGATTACGAAGGTACAATATGTATCCTACAATATAAAGAGATTCTTTTGATGTGAAAGAAGTATACTGTAAAGAAGTAATAAAATATTTGAATCATAAATTCAAATTTTACGGTATGAATAACAGATAATAATATATGATATAATTATATTATTATTTTTTAAGATTACTTAATAATAATATATAACAAATATTAAATATTTAATAAAAATATTTTAAAGAATAATAAAACAATAATAATAACAGAAGGGGCAGTCATTCGTCTTAATGTCACCAAACGTCGCACAGAATAAACTTACAAAGGACTAAAGACCGAAACAAAAAGCCCTAGATCCTACCATATCATGCTACATTATTGCGTGCTATTAATTGACACGATGCCCTAGTATAATGATATAAGCTTTACCTATACAGTCGTCAATATCCAGCTTTTCCTTCTTACCATACACTGGCCGGTCTTCGGGTCGCACGACTCTGAATGTCCGTTGCAATGGCAACGCGAGCAGCGAATTGCGTGAGGTACGCTGAGGTCCCGCAGGTAGCCGGGGGCGCACTCTTCACATGATAGACCGGCGTAACCCGGGGGGCACGTGCACTGTTCCACCTCGTGCGCTACAATCCCGTCTGGCGAGTCGGTGGCGTGCGGCACAGCGGTCGACATGTTCACGCTGCTTAGCGACGTTAACAACATGCGCGAACTAAACGTAGCTCGAATGAGGAGCACTTCGATATTGGCCAGCACGCGAAGAAGGTCATGACGGGAGGCCTCGGACGACAGCGACGTCTCCGGGTCGAAGTGTCGCCAGTCGAGCTCGCGAAGTGGAACTCGATAGCTCCGCTGTTCTGCCGGACTCGGTGGCGGATGCAGGATATAAAACAAAGTCATTCCGTTGCCCTGCAGGCAATTTTGTGAGGGAAATTGCGCAGGCCCGAAAGAGATGACAGAAGAGGTTATTTACTTTTGTGACCTCACAGTTGAGAAAAGAAGAACACTCAATTGTTGCACTAGGTTTGCACAGGCAAGTAGAAACAACAAATTCTGGTCGGATTGAAGCTAAACTATTCGATCGATGGAAATAACATCTATTAGAGCACCACCACTTTGAAAAAAAAACATGTAAAAATTAGGAAATGCTTTGAACGTACCGTTATCTGGATGTCGGCGTCGTTGAATGGTTCCCCTTCGGTTTCGGCCGTATAGTGCTGACTGAAGCTAAGATAGCCCCCGTATGAGGCGAGTTTGTTACCCAAAAACTGTTCAGGCAATGACCAAAATAACGTCTCCTGACTAGAAAATGATGCAAATGAGACCGAGTTTAGAGAGGGGTTCACCACAATTCCTTCGGTGATTTGCTGCATTTGTAAACGATCAGTCAACTGAAAATGGTGTTGGAAGGGGTCATCGAGGTCGGCGAGCGCCATAAAAATTTCGGCACGATAAAATGTTGATGAAGTGCATTTTTCGGTAACTTCAAAACAGAAACATGGTGTGCAACCGTGTGGGTTGCCGGCCTCCAATTGGAAGTAGCCTTCCTTGCATCGCTGACAATTTTTACCCTCGACATACTCTTTACAAGCGCATTGTTCGCTGATATCGCAATCCTCGCTAATGCTGCCCCGCGTGTCACACTGGCACGAAGGCTCTGTAACAGACAGCGATTGAAATATGTTTACGTAAAGAATAACAGTTTTGCCAGAGATGCTCAAAAACATCTTTCCTAAGTACTGTTATTCGAATGCCCGCCAGGCAGTGCAAGGACGCTCTCTGTGATTTCAACAGAATTCAAAAAGAACGGTCTTCATGTATCCTTTCTCTTAAAAGGGGTAGTCAACAAAACCAGCTTTCGTTTGCTCTTACCAGAGATATCAGTACAGTCGCTTGAAGTTCCAGCGGTGGCATCACCTACAAAGCCGGGTGCGCACTCATCGCAGAAGTCCCCAGTAGTATGATGTTGACAATCTCGGCAAACTCCTGATTCTGGATCACAATCTGATGAGTGGCCATTGCAAAAACACGGCTCACAGAGTCCGAGAAAAGAGCCGGAAGCCGAACGCGTGAATCCTCGTTCACAGGCTTCGCAAGAAAGTCCACGATAACCACGAGGGCAACGACATTGCTCGACTGAGAGGGCTAAAGCCTGGCCAGTGTTAGAAGGAACTGCAATGTCCAAACTTACTTCCACCAGTCTATAATCAAAAGAGTAGCCAAGAATATAGCAGGCTGTAAATCGCGTTTAACATACAACAGATAATAATATGACAACTTTGGGCGAAACGACAATAAAACAAGTTCAGCAAATAAATTACAATAATGGCCAAATGCGGTTATTTTATATTGTTCATGCTGTGGCATAGAAACGTACGCGGCGAGCTCGGTGTCGTCGACGTAAGTTGCTTTAATAAGGATAGCCTGCAGGTTGGCTAGGACTAGCATGAAGTCCTCGCGGCGGGAGGGGAGGCCGTCCGCTTTCACGAACGAACTCTCAAACATACGAACGGTCAGCTGCTGAGCAAACATGCCGGACAATTTGTCGGCAAATCGGTGCTGCAATGTTGCTCGGGTGCCGACGAGGATGATGTCAGGTTCTTGGTCGCGATAAATGCCGCCACCTTCATAGCGTAGCTTGACACGGAGCTCGCCGCCATAGGCAAGCGTCTTTCTGCCCAGAAAACGTTCCGGTAGCTGCCAGTAGGCGACGTCAGATGAGCCGCGAGCGTAGCTGTAATTAGCCACGCTAGCCTCCGAAAAAACCAGTTCTCTCCGAGTGGTTTCTGCCTTCAAGCCAGAGTCGCTAGTAGTACTGCGATGCTGATCAGTTATGCGAACATCTTCCGTTGACGTAGTAAAGCGGAGAATCTCCTGAACGAGTTTTTACACAATAAATCAAGGACGATTCTGATTATTATTAATGTTGCTAATTGCTAAGTCCTGTGAGAGCTGAGTAATAACTATTTGAATACGAAAGTCGAGATCCGGTCGACAACATAGGATATCAAGAACTGAATTGCCAGTACTACGCTACCTGTTCGCGGTAATAGTTTGACGAGGTACACGATGAAGTGATGCCCATACAAAAGCATTGAACGCAGCCTAATGGCGCGTCGGCGTGCAGAAAGAAGGAGTTCGTCCTGCATGTATCACAAGCAGTGCCGGTCACAAGAGGTTTACATGGGCAGAGTCCAGTTGATGGCGAAGGGTCCGCACTCAGTGAGCCAGCTGAGTTGCATCGGAACGTGCCTATGGCACAATGACACCGTTGTGCAATAAGGCAAAAATATTATACTTGATTTCTGTTGTTTTCCTATTTTAAAATCCTAAGTGATCTGTATTTACAATAAACACAAACACATTTTGCTTTTTCTTCGCATCGGATCAATTCTCTATTTTGTATATCCACAGTGTGCCCTAAATTGATCACTTCGGCTCTTTAACGTACCGCATTGTTGTTCATCAGACATATCGAGACAGTCTGCCTTTCCGTCACACCGAGCCCGGGCATCTATGCAGACGCCATCACGACATTTGTACTGGTTTAGAGTGCACGCTGAAATCGATCGGCTATGACGTTTTAGCGTATTCTCGTTTTTCATTCGACTTTTACGTCACTCCTTTAACCGTCTCAAAATATGTAACTTTTATTCTGGAAGTGTACAAGATAATCACTCAATAACATCTACGTAAAGGACACATACCACAACCATGTTCATCAGAAAAGTCTTCACAATCATAGCGGCCATCACACTGTTGCCGCCTCATAATGCAGCTGCCGCCACCACATTGGAATTGATCAACGTCACATTCTGCAAGCAAAATTCATCATGACCTATAGTGATGGGAAGATTCTTGACCAATGCAACTACATATTGAAGCAGTTTTTGTCATTCTCGTAGCTGAATCGTTTGATCAATGCTGAAAAATTTCTACCTTGCAACTTAGCTACAAGATAAATGTATCAATAGGCGTTTGTTCTTTTAATGAAAGGCTTGATTTTACCCGAAAGTCGGCAGGTGTTGCCTAGATCCGAACGTTCATAGCCATGGGCGCACTTTTGGCAGCGTCTACCCTCGTAGCCAATAGGACACGCTGTACACGTCACCTCTCCGTCGGCGTCTAGCTGACACGAGGGCGCAAACCACTCAGCAGGATACCCAGTAAATCGGCTTGTCAACATGCTGCATGCACAATACGAACAGAACAAAGAACATTTGTCCAATACCTGTTGGTGTACTATATACCTGTATGAAGATCCTATAATTAAATACTCGCGTGCGCAGATAGGTCAGTTAACTTTGTATATACAATAGCAATTTTTATGTAGTGCTTGACACGTACACATGTGTGAACGAGAGCTATATACAAGTTGATGTATCTTTCTTTCACACATCACGTATGGCCTATCAACAAATCATCGACAGCTAACTACTAGAAAGTAAAAAAAAGCAGACGTGTTGGTTTATAAGGTAGGCAAAGAGCCTATTCACACTATCGGCAGGCATTTTACTTATGAATTTAATTTCTTGCACGCTAATCTATTTACTCCATTAATAAAGAGAAAGGATGGACGAGATGAACTGCCATCGTTTTCACAAAGGTCACACTGTCCTCGATGTAGGACATTTATAGTCGTAATTATGACATTGTTGTTATTGTCTATTTAGAATTTTGCGTAAGCTTGGCCACTTACTGAGGTGGGACTGTTATTGGTGGACACGGGCAGGGTCTACAGTCGAAGGCCGTCCCCCTAGTTGCCTGTCCATAGAAACCCCGTTTGCATTTCTCGCAGTGGACACCATCGGTATTATGTTGGCAGTTCTGCGAAAAAATGCCGTTATTTGAAACTTTACCTCGAAATCCCGTAACTTATATTCATCGACTCGCCTCATCTACAAATGAATACTAAAAGAAACATGGCGTGTAACTATCTTCTATTACCTCTGCAAACGCTTAATATCATCTTCATTCTCTAACAATGCACTACGCGCTGATTCTCGAAGTAAAGGACGATGTCATTGTTTCCGCCATATCGATCGCACCTCGTTCTAGTATCCTTTTAGACATGTTTTTAGCCCTTATCTAAACTTCGCACTATTATATATGCGTCTGCGAGATTTATAAGCGTTTTCCTCACACTTACCAAGCATTTGCCAGTAGTCTGGTCGCACGTGTTGGAATGACCGTTGCAGGCACAAGGAATGACACCCTGAACGCAGGACCCGAGAAACTGACCACTTTGACGGCGTACGAATCCAGCGGCACATTGCTGTATTTGTTCGCAGGCGCAAACAGATATGAACATATTGATATATGCAGTTGCTAGGAGTATATAGACATTTAAAGATGTCGCTATTGCGAACACGAGAGAAAATACATGGCATAGTCCTTAGTGGTTATTCTGCCAAAACCGATTGCGCTATAATCGAACAACATAATGCTATACTTGTAAACGAAGTCCTTCGAACATTTCGTTACGACACCTGTATGCTATATATAGGCTATATATATATTATTATTGAAGCTAGAAAGGCGATGTTTGTGTCGACGAGTGTATGTATTCCCATATACCAATTCCACCTTTAAACGCAAACGCCGTAAACAGCAAAAATAATATACGATTGAACTCATTAATAAATAGTGATAAACGACCAGACGTATAGAGTAATGTAGGCAAAAAACCATGTACCTCACAAGAGTGCCCTACATAACCCTGAGGACAGGTACACTGTTCCACGAGAACCGCTATGACGCCTTGAGGATTCGAATAGCTGGCTGAATCTAGTTCCACCTTCCTGATGCTACATATCGTTACAACATACAGAAGGAAGGTTCGCATTAATGCACGTACTTGGTGGTCTGACTAATTTTTTTGCGAGATTTCTAAAAAAAGAAGCTTCGATATAAATTTGATGGACTGGCACACTTTGCAATGTCCTTGTATAACGCGCAACGACTCGCCTGAGTAATAATGCAAGTCAAATGTAAACAAGTGGTCAAAGGTAACGCATCTGATATTCTATGACATTGTCAACTGCTTGTTTGTCATGAAATAATTCGATTTCTTTAGAAATCCCCTAACGTCATTCGACCATTCTATCACTGTTGTACGGTATTACATAACCACATGTGTATACTTTGTAAGATATTATCTAGTAAATAGCTAACCTGGCTTGTAAAAGCTCGATTGTGTAACCGGCTCGAATGTAAATTCCGTTCAGATCAGCGAGAACCGTCATGATGTCTTCACGAAGAGCCCCACGTCCTCCATGATGGCCGCCGGACTGACCGGAGTGGGAGGGCCGTAGCCACGCCCCCTGGCGACAAGAATCATATTCATGTGTGTCATCCATGCTGCCATCATGGCTACGGTGCTGGAACACCAAGCAACATACCACCGGTCTTCGTACAACTAACCTACAACCTAACCTAGTCCCTTTTTCAGAATACGTAAGTTGACTAATTGATATCTAGTTTCAAGCAAACCATTTTCAGCAAACAATAACTGCTAGTGAGAGATTCCGGAGTTGTGACCCAGTTGTTTCCTCAGTTACCACGGCTAGAGTCACAGCAATTATAGGAGATCACTCATAACGAACACCCGCATCAAATATTTAATGAGGTTTTTACGAGTTCTAGATCCAACAGTGCCGCTGCATATTATTTTTAGCAGCCGTTCTCGAGTGTGAAACAAAATATATTTGCCTACGCCAGCTTCTGAACCGAGCTCACTGAACGTAAATTTAGAAGGTTAATACCATTTACAAGGACACGCCTAATAAGTATACGTATATATATTGCCTTGAATGTATACGGTAAAGACGCGTGATATTTCGAAACGATAGGAATACCTCAATGATCTGCATGTTGATTTTATATTCTTGATCGGGTAGATAATGTATGCCTGAGCGATAGAAGATCTCTAGACCATTTCCTCGCATGACGACATCTGCAAAATCATCGGACAGGCGCTCCTCCTGCATCCCGCTTTTGAATCTTTTCATTGCCGAAAACCGGATGCAACAGCAAGAGAAATTCTCGTTATTAATATAATCAAATGCTCGATGACGCCTATCGCAAGCATCACCATCCCTCGCGTCGTATTTACTATGGCTAGCCGTTATGACACGTACTTGATAGAGTATTTAAGATATCCTCCATATGAGGCGACCCGAGGTCCCAGAAGGTCACCACTAATGCTCCAATACAGTTGATGACTTCCTGCTAATTTCTCAATTAGGGTCCCGTCAATCGAATACTCGTCGCCAGTCTGAACGACTGCTTTCTACAAACGGAATCATACGGTAAATACGTTGAAACATACGCGTGTATGAACACTCGCTATGTACCTGTAGTCTGTAAGTTTACTCACTGCAGCTCAAGAAAGTATTTGCGCATGCTGGAATACTTTATGATTGTTCTTGAAGCAGTTTTCGTGCTGGTTGAAAATTCACAAGCATGGCTGTGCTAAGTTAGGCGGGTGCCTTTCCGAAGTTAGTTAAGCCTTTTCATACGTACATATACAAAGTGAACGAATCTTTCTTAGAGTCCATGTACACTGATATCGTTTGATGACACGGCCTACACCCTTTGGCGTATTGCAAACGGTATGCTTGATGCATCGATACTTTCTAAAAAAAAAATATTTCCACTTCGTTTAAGTGCTGTAGCAAGCTAATCAACGCCTGCTCAAACGTATCGGTTTTTCCCCAGACTAGGTCCCGCCGTATACTAATTGACGTCTTACGTACATGCATCGGGCTGTAGTTGTTCGAAACGTCCTTGTAGCTTCCATGGTTGCTCCTCTCGAAAACATGGGCCGACAGAAGGCTCGAATTGAGTGCCACGCGATACATGTTACTTGACCGGCAGCTCGTTGAAGCCCCAAAACAAAAACAATTCAGACATTCCTTCGACGATTTGGCTTCTTCATTGAATTGTCCGTTCTGACAAATACCTGTTGATCGTACATATAATATTATCGACATTCGTCAGTCAACAATAATAAATGTCTTAAGTAATTATTAAGTGAACGATTTTCTACCTAGTGCTTTACTCGGGTATATCGTGCAAAGTTGTATAGCTTTCTAGTTCCTTTTGTTACTACCATAACGAACTGGTCCAGAAAAGATTCAGTTGATGAAAATGACGGCCTTCTAACTGACTTGCAACAGGCTGCTCACTATACTCAAACATAAAACGCGCTAAGGCGGGTAAGAATGTAGAGGGGGTATCAAGAAATGGCGCTCCGCTGAGTAGTATAAAGCTCTTTATTCGTCTTTTATTTCTCCCTGTTCTATACGAAGATGACACATAACTTGTGCGGGTCGAGCAAGTGTGTCGTCGTGAGCTGATGCTCAGGACTCTGTTGGCTCGAGCCCAACATTTAGGCCGCTATATAGTCGCTTAGCCCGAGGACCTCGTTTCTGCTACCGCATGTATGTCGACATACGTATATGTAATCACGATGGCGTAACTGAGACTCATATATTTGCGGGACAGAGTCCCGGCTGGCGATAATGAGGAACCATCAGAAGCACTGTGACGGAATTCTAAAGCCTTCAGAGAATCCGTATCAAACAGGCCAATATAACAGGGTTCTAAACGTCTTCGCTCGAGCACAGCCTACCTAAAATAGATGGGCGAACGATTTGATTCGAACTGTATCAGCAGCTACAACAGTTGAAGACGGCAGTCCAAGAAGAAGAAGAAAAAAGAGCTTCGTCATTTACGCTAGAGATATGATTAGTCTATGCACGCCTCTATTCGTTCTCGCGTAACGTAAATTGTATGAAATCGACCGTCGATGAATCTAACTCTGGCAACGTTTTACAGCAATACTTATGGAGCGGAATAGATTCCTAAGTTAAATTCGTCCAAACTTTTGTTTTAGCAATATTATTACTACGACAAGCAATAATATTGCTAAAACGTAATAGTTGCTATTTCGATAGCAATAGCATACGTTTACTCCTGATACCGCTCAGCTTATATGGGCCTACTTGAAACGGTAGGCCATCATAGACGATTGAATTTGCCTGTTTTAACACAGCCGGTTTCCTTTACGGCCTTTTTTTTGCAATTCGACCGTCTTTAGCATATGCTGATAAACCGAAGGTCTGTTAAGGTATATAAACCAATTCTGGAGAGCAAACAGTCGTCTTATTATCTACGTTTAGTTAGAATATATTATATAGTAATCTAGTCGGCGGCTGGTGTAGTATACCTCGCGCTTTAACGACCAATATCGTATCGGGGACTGCTAGGACATTTTTTCGCACGTTCATTGCTTCACACGTCCAAGCGCCTTGGTCTGACTGAGATACCTGGAGAAGACGTAACAAAAGTGTTTAGCATCTGCAGATAATAATTCGTAACATCTACTGAAAAGTTGTTAAGCAAAGATCCGATAAGTTCCTGTTTTATCTTCAAAATAGCTTCGCTGAAATTGGGTTTACTAATGAAGAAAAATAAGTACGTAGCTTTACGATCGAAGTAATATCTTCGAACTTACTTATTTTGTGCCGACTATTATAGAATAACTGCATTTACAGTTTGTTAAATACGCTTACAAGAAGAGTATGCATTATTTATTACACAAAATTATACAATTATGTATTCTAAGTTCTACAGTTACTAATAGTCCGATAAAATTCATAGTCATTTGGCTTTCAGATAATCTACAGAGTTCTCGTCGCTGACGCTTCCGCTACTATCATTGGGATAGATAGAGGGAGCTCATGTCAAGCGTAACTTAAGGCAGGATACGACCTGTACGGAATCTATGGTGATTCGTAAAACGTAAACATTCTGAGGATTTGCAAAACGATATTCTTTTAGAAGCGTTATTTACGAGTGATACCAAAGTCGAACGCTCAGTAGCAAGCCAACCATCATAATTTGTTTAACATACCTCTCGAATCGTCAGGATGCCAACGCCACGATCGGACGTTGTTGTCACTCGTGGGGGAGAAGGAATATGACCCCAGTTTTTTCGCCAGCTAATGAATGGCTCCGGATTACCGATAGCCCCACAACTGACGTTTACTGTATCACCTTCGGACGCGGTTACCACCTGAAACAAACGATATCCTAATCAGCGCTCGTATGACTACAAATGAGCAAATGTAACTAATATTGGTGATAATCGACAAATCCATACAGGTGCCAATTGATATCGGAACCCACCTGTCTATACAAGTATTGTTCTTTCCCACACGAAAACGCTTCGGGGAAAGTCTGAGCAGGCAGAAAAGCACTAGGAACCGAAACATTTTACGTTTATGTTGCAGTTTTAGAAAAGAGAACCTAACATTACGTTTAGTTGTCGAGTGGGGAAGTGTCGATTTTACCGAACACATGCATATAGTCTACCTTCGGTGGGGGAGTGATAATGATCGGTGGTCCACAGCCAATTTCATCGGACTTGTCCTGACAATCGAACTCTTGGTCGCATTGGAACGATCGTGGAATACACTGATCCTGCGACGAACATTGGTACTCGCGCTGGCTACAGGCTGACCCCACAACTACAGTTTCTGTGAAGCGACATTGCAGAGGAAAAAAGAACTTAATAGCAGAGCTTTTTTTGTAGGAACTTAGACAATCACATACTGTTGTAATACTGTTTTGTACTTTTTCACTGAATTGCTTGATTTCACTTCAATAACCGTCTTTCGATAAGTTAGTCCAACGTCATGTGGCACGGGCATGCGATATACGTACAAGTTCCTTGGGAGCGGCCTTAAAGACGAGAAAAACTAATGCCAAATGAGGTCTGTTTGTGCTTCTAAGCATAAATAAAAGACTATGCAAATTAAAGAAGGCTTTTAACAATGATTATGTGTAAGCGTAAGTCCCCCATTTGACGCAGTACAACGAAACCTTGATGTGCGTGCCCAACTAAATCATTACTTTCATCAATCGTAACTTACTACAGTCACTTTCGTCAGTTCGATCTCCGCAATCATCATCACCGTCACACCAGAACGTCTTGGACACGCAACGCCGATTGGCGCATTCAAATTCGTTGGGCTCGCATTCTGATTGTTGAGCTGAAATGAAAAGATGGCGCAAATACGTCATATAATCCAAGCACTTCGTGATCCAGCCATTTCTGACACGTACACTGAGCATTAACGACAACAAATTCGCAGCAGCAGCAGCATCATCTAAGCTTCATTTGGCTAAGTTCCAGTCACGACACTGCCTAACTGTAATACGTTTCTTTATTAGATCGTACGCTTTTATCTTGCATTCTCCTAATGGGAAATATTAAGTCAATGACCATTACGACATTCGAATAATTACTTGTATACAAACATATTTTCATAAGAGTACGGACCACAGTTGAGCTCATCGGAACCATCCTCACAGTCGTAGTCTCCGTCGCAGAGATACTTGCGCAGAACACACTGTCCGCTGTGGCAGGCTGCCTCGTCCCGGTTGCAACCCTCGGAAACATCAAGCCCAGTCGGCGTTGTGCCTTCAGAGGTCGCGGACGCACCCCCCCCAGAACCGGCCAAAGCAGTGTCTCCACCACCATTCGGCCGAACAAGGATAGGTCGGTTAGGCTCCTCGGACACTGATGCTGTTAACATAACAAACATTTTGGTCTTTTGACTAGTTTAACTACTAATTGAAGCTATCTTACTTTAGATATTTTCATTTTTTCCCACAATCAGTTTTTGTTGAGCTTACCGGTTTCGTCCCTAATAACTAGAACATTTCCTGCACACTAATCGGACCAACTAGTGCTTTTATATTACATATTACGGCCGATGTTTTATGATTCACGTTACAATATACACATGTGCTCCGAGTAAGTATATTGAGAAGCGGGATTCTAGAAGCTAAAGGACTTTTGGGTTGAAAGCGTCTTTTGACAAATATGCACAAGAATATGCGACATCTACACTAACGACGAGAGCGCCACCAAGAGTCGAAAAAACGCGTGAACCGACTACTCCGAAAGCAAGCCCAGAAGCAATCTGCGGGTTCAGTAAGGGCTAGTCTTTGTTCTCTGTTCGTACGTACCTCTTACCGAGTCCCTATCAAGTTTAGTTCCGGCCACTCACCAGAGTTGCGGGATATTCTACGGGCCTTCTTGTATTCGACTGTTGCCGCGTTTGTTGATGTGCTGCTGATGGTCCAGTAGCCTGTAGCGAGGTTGCCCTTGGAGGCCTTCGAAATGGCTGCGTGCAACGAACATAGCGAAGCGATGAGTCGACGTGTGTGCGATGTTCAGGCCAAACAGCTTTTCCTTTATAGTCCTACAGCCTCATCTTCAGTCCACCTACATGCAGGAGAAGTACCCAGAAGTGGCCCGCGGCGCCAGGCGTAGCAGGCCTCCTCAGACTCCCTTCAGGCTGACCTCTGGACCACAACTGTCAGGGCCATGTAGGCATATGGTATTATGTGGGCGACAACGACGAAATCGTACTAGCAACCCTTATCAGTACGTTCTCTGTGACAATCTGTCCGCCGGACCGTCTAGAGCGGTCAGGCATAGATAGGTTCGACTAAGTATGACCTCATTACATTACAACATTTTGAAGCTATGTCCTCAAGCCTTTGCAAAACAACCCCACTGGCTGCTGTAAGGCGCTGATTCAGCTTGACTAGTGATAACCGAAATACAAGACCTGCAGATCGCACTGAACTTAATTAAATTGCTACCCTGATACTATCGACATTTTGAAAACTAATGACGACGAGAAGTACTTATTTTCTGCAGCACCTCGTTATTGCTGATGGAATATGAAATAAAGGTACCAATTCGAACCAGTAGTAAAAATACTCCAAACAGATAAGCGCATACTTCATCCATTAGATTCAAAGCGATTTCTTGAGATAATACATCTTCGACTATTCGTATAAATTGTTTTTCTCGTAAACCCATACGATGATGCGTACAGAGGTCGAGTAGAAGCAGTAGGACTCGTTTTGGTAATAGCAAATGGTTAATTTCAGTATCATGCATTGTGGGTCTTAAGGCGCAATATAGCTGGGTTAGAGGACCATTTTTTGAGGTCTTCGTTACTATTACTACTTGGATTCGTTTGTCCGACATTTCGACTGTAGATGTTGCTATACTGGTGAAGGCATAGCGCGCCCTGCTGTGTGTGTTGTAACGGCAGCTTTTCAGTCAAATAGGAGGTCGCTACAAGCCTCGTTATTGAAGCGAAATTAATAGATATTTTGCGGAATCTAAGATTTACTGTTCTTATCTACTGGCAGAGCTCGAAACTAGCATACTAGCAGACCCCGTAGAAGCTGATCCAAACCTAAGCAGGAGCACCGCGCTGCACACGTCGATGAGACCCAAGATATAAGGGTAACGCGAGAATCAAGGGTGGACTCACACAAAGACAACAAGTCATTGTTGGAAAGATAAACTTCTGCTCTCCTTTATATCAATTATTTACTTCGATTTTTTTTTTTTTCTATTTTCGTCCACTTTTGTCTGCTATTGACTCATTTCCGACATGGCTTTGCGAACTGTAGGTTAGGCGCGGCAGACAACAGGCAATAAATGACAGAAATAGGCTCGATCGAAGAAGTACTGTCTATAGTTCTTCTCGATTGGCTTCCGAAATGTCAAGTTGATAAATGTCTGATAATGATGTGGATCACTAGCCGGTTGGTCCCCGAATGCCCCAATGTCACCCCTTGTCGCACCCCAGCGATCAAGCATGGATGGAAGATTAGTATAATATAGTATAGATAGACGGTTGATGATAAAACTAGAGCGACAGTTTTTGACCAACGATAACGAGCTTCGTACACACTAGATGATTAACCGTCCCTGTAAGACTTCTTGCTTGACGCTGAGAGACCCACCACCGCTAAAGATTAGATAGATAGATAGACAAAGCAGTTTTTAAATATTGTACATTACTTTAAATGTACTATTACTAATCTCTGTGCTGTTTGCGAGTGTGGGCGCGGATGCACGTTCCTGGTGAGAATTTAAAAAAAATTAAAGACAAGGAGATGGAGGAGACAATACTGAATCGCCACCGATGCCATCGACATCGTATTGCATAGCCATAGCAGGATTTTTCATAACAACATCAACAACAACAACATCAAAGGTACAAGTATGTGAAAGAGCAAGGTATCAGTTGTCCGAAGTTGCAGGCTACAGGCCGTATTTGGCCGGAAAAGGACGTAAGAGTTGGACGGCTGGCTACGACTCACGCACAGACCAAGGCTGTGGAAATCTGATGTTGGGAGCATTGACTGCTCTGCGGCCGGGGCTTTTACAATAAACAACTACTGACGCGTATATGTATGTGTGGGAGAAGGAAGCGAGTGCCGCTAAAGGTGCAGACAGTCACTGAGAAACGGGGGCTGCGAACGCGGGGAGTAAAAACAAATAGCTACATTTGCAGTTCTCTTTTGCATTTATAGTTTCCAACATAAATGAAACTTCTGGTTAGGACTAGAGTGTCTATGATTCATAATAATAGTTTCGGCGAGTCTACGAATGAGCGGTGCTTTGTTTGACTATTTATATTAACAATGATGAACTACGGTCATTATTATATGTAGAAAGGAAACTGAAGATCAAGGACGGCGGAACACAAGTGCCGATAGTAGTAACGAAAAAAAAGTTCAAACTATTATCCTTAATAGCTTGAATAGTAACAGCACGAACCGACCAATCACTAAACCAAATAGCATAAGACTGAATATCATCTGTCGTTATACGGCAGCACCGAATAAACAGCAATGGAAAAACGTATGAGGAAGATCAATTATCATTCAATCATAGAAACAGTAACTGTTGTACGTCCATCACGTTAAACCTAGTAATTATTGATGAATGACTTCATACGTACGCTTATCATATTCATATATATATGTAAACCTCTATATCTCTACATAAACTTGACCACTATAATAATTATCAGTGTCCCTATATAATTTGACCACTATGGTAATTATCAATGTAGTATTATTACCATCATTGTCACCGCGTCAAGAATGCCCTCTCAACGTTGATGATTTTGATTTGTATTGTATATGCGCATGTAACGATTCATGTGTGTATTACATATATTTTGTATTTCGAATATTTAACACTAGAAAATTGGTTAATTAGATATTCGTTTAGCATAGAAGTTATGTGTATCTCTACCTACTGTTGAACTTATGTTCGATAGAAGCGCGTCTATCTCTCGTTATTTGGACGTGCGTGTAAATCACTCGCTGTGTTTCATTTTTGCCCTTTCTCTCCCATGTGGTTTACTGTGGTGAATAGTATTTGCCACTATTTTTCTTTGGCATTATTGGCTTGGCTCAGTTCAGAGGACTTCAAGCCACCACTACCCCCAGTTGCGTTTTCTGTACTATCTTTATAATTTTCGGATTGGGCGTGCGCTTGCCCCGACGGCGTAGTCTCTGATATACCGGACTCAACAGCAGCCACGTAACGCTGTCTGCGTTGCCGGCGAGCCGAAACAGTTCCGTTTTGTGGGCTCTTTGCTAAATATCGGGGGTCGTGTATACCGCTAAATGGGTAGATTAATGCATGGGTAGGCGGATACACACGGGCGGTCACGACGAGGGTGGCGCTTTTCTGGCTGGGCCGCAGCTCCTGGCCGTCGACGGATAGTGGCACGCACAGGTAGACTCCGGCATCGTCCTCGGTAACTCGAGGCAGGGTCAAACGTCCACGGTGATCGCTGTGACCGCTTTTCAGTGGTCGTCCATCGGCGCGAGCCCAATGAACCTTCAAGCGGCGGGGTCCTTCGTCGCGGCATCTGTAGATAGGCATCGAGCCAGATGGGCAAGCCGGGAAACAACACCAGTGGTAAAATGCAACCAATTAAGACGATAAAAGCACGGACCAGACGATAATGAATGGCACACAATTTTACTTGTAAGAAAAGGGACTGTACAGGCATATAATCGGGGTTTGTTACATTGCAGTAAAAAGCAATCGATCGACCTGGCTTGTTTTCGATAATTTCTGCGCTTCTGCCAATGTCAATGAAACCAAATATCACACTGTGAACTAGCTGAATATATTTTTCTATATCATTGAGAACGTCCAGGTTCCCATGGTCCCATGCACTTTGTCCTTAGTTGATTTTATGTTGACGCAAAAAGAGATGACGGGATCTTATTTGTTCGTAATCACAGGACGATAGGTCGAGCGAGATCGCTGAAAACTTAGAAACACAGTTGTGGCCTGTCCGTATACATGTACTTCCTAGTAATCTTCATTATATTGATAATGGATGACAAGGGTGCCGATACCATAGATGTGCGTTATAATTACACTGTCTCATCTTGATATCACGTACGTTTCGTTCTGTTCGTACGCCTACTCTTAAAGACACAAGAATACGTAGATAAGCTATGTACTTTTAGGTAACTTTTTTTGTAACTTTTTTTTTTTACTGGCTAGCGTTGTTGCTCAAGCAGCGAGTGAAAAAAAAATAACGAATTAATAACGTAAACGAATGCCCGAAAATCTCACACGTACCTTATAACGACGTTATGTCCAGCTGTCTCGTTTTGGAAAGAAGGATAGACACGAACGTCGATATCGCTCACTGGAACAGAAAGGAAACAGAGAACTACGTATTGAACAATTTCACTCAATGATTTAGCGCGGGGCGACGCTAGTAATCCCAGAGGCTTTCCCAAAAGTGTTTTTTTACGGCCTGACATTTGGAGAAGGGTTATTTTCAAACGGATTAAAGTTTCGTCAGTTGAACCAGTTATTTATTGAATGTTCAAGTTTGGTTCATTGAAAGTTTGTGTTAGCTCATGGAAAATCAAATCTGCGTACGTGTATCATGCACACACTGGTTCTATTTGAAAATCACGGTGTTGAAAACGTTTCACCATGTTCTGCCTTCAGCTTTGGTCGGCTCGGTAGATACGGTGGCTACGAAACGTTACGCTATTGATAATTGTCTAAGAATTGAAATAAGTGTTTAGATGACTTTATCTATTGTTAAGCTGAGGTGAAGCACTCGTTGGTAATGTAGCAACTGGTTCATCTTTTGCCCCATGTAGGCATTATAGATTGACATAAAGTGCCTAGCGCTTGCATTTCTCTTGAAATACTTTCCTCTAGCTACACCTGAAGGCATGACAGCGAACCTTTTAGCCCCTACTCCTAGCCTTTTTATATTTAATAGAATATAATGGTTAATATATATATATATATATATATATACATTGTCCTAATTATTACAAACTACTGAAGGAGAAGAAATAGAATTTCGGTAAGTACTACTTATAGCAGGCATTCATTAATTTCAAACAGGAAAAGCAAAGGAAAGTTTAAAAATGCAAAAACTCTTTCTACATGGAGCAGCTTCTCGAAAGAGAAATCGAGATTACGGTTCAAGAGGCATATTTCGGCATGTGGAAAGTAGCGAGTTACCGTATTTTGTTAAGTAGACATGCGTTTAGTCGGGCATTATGCCACAAGCTGCATATTAAAATTTAACATAAAGTATTGAAATCCAGTGCGCAGTATTCCGCAAAAAGCGTCGACCGCGGGTTACATTGTTGTAAAGTCAACATAGGAGTGTTAAGCTAAATATTTGATAAGTCAACTTACTCTATTGAAGTAAAATCGAAACGAAGCATTGCGTAGACATGTCAGGGTACACTAAATGGTACGAGACCTTCTTATTGTACAGAAATTTCATTTTCTTATCAGTCCTAATCCTTGAATGAGGTAGAAGTACCTTCAGTGAAGGTAACAAAGATTAATAGTTTTCCTGAACGCTATAATAAAGGCAATGATGAAGGAAAACACAACGAAACATGCACGTGCCGAAATTAAAGTACGAAGGGGCAAAAAGTAAAGGGGCAAGCTACAAAGGCTAAAAAAAATGGAGAATCAAGTTTTTAAATATGATCGCATTCTTTTGTTTGGCTTGACTTTTGAGTTTGGCTATGAAGAACAAGAGTACTAGATCATAGGTGTTTTCAAGGAAGCAAGATAAGGCAATCTGTGTTTGTATGAGAAAAAAGCCAGAGCAAAAAAAATCGTATTTTAAAAAAACACGATTAATGGACAGGGGCTTCGGCTATATCTACAGAGTTTTTTCCTCTACTCATATCATCAGGATAGTATTAGGAGGATGACCGTCGAAGGCAGGATTTATTTGTATGGCAATGATGCCTACCGGAACATCCGTTCTCGTCGGATCCGTCTGCACAATGGGGTTTGCCATCGCAGCGGTGACCCCGCTCGATGCACTGTCCGTTGGTACACGTAAACTGCGTTGGCTGACAGCGCCCTGCGTCGTTTGCCAATAGTAAGCCAACAAACATTATATACAGTTAGGACTGGTCCCATGCACTTTGTCCTTAGTTGATTTTATGTTGCGCAATACGCCGTTTAGCAGCTTAATTAAGGTGCTAATTTTCGACCTCATGAATACTAACAACAACACCGTTACCTATGTGTATACCATATATTTTCATTTACATCGATTCGTACATCAACATACTACATAGGTTCAGAGACACAGAAAAACTGCCTAAATCATGTGACGCTTACAACAATCGATCTCGTCTGATCGATCAGGGCACTGGGGTATGCCGTCGCAGAATTCGTCCCTTGCGATACATAGGCCCGACAGGCACTTGAACTGCGCTGGACCACAATCATGAAATTCTAAGCGTATTTTAAAGGTTGTATATTTATTTGTTTCAGTTATGTCGACATGTTAATGTAGAATACGTTAGGAGATCGATAATAGAGCCATAGGTGAGTTTAGAGACAAGGCGGGTTCGGTACACAGCGTACCACATTTGTGTCAATGGCACGTTTCGTTGAAATAATGGATGCACGATGAATACCGTGTTTCATGCATGGTTAGTATGTTGATAAGGGCCAAGTAAAGTCGATATGACAGGGAAGAGATGTTCAATAAAGCCGAAAGTTTTCATTGCATGATTATTAGTATTATCATATAAACGTTTTTAGCAATAGGTCGCGATGTCAAGGGAGCGCCACCCATGAAGCATCAGTTGTTTGTTTATTGATTGGTGAAGTTTGATCGTTGATTGTCGATCACGAGCAGATCCCCATAGTCCATTTGGATGAGAGCGCGATGAAGAGGGCCGCATGCAAGAACATAATACTTGTATATGATTTTCTGTTGTTGAGAATAACAGAAGGTAAGCTCATACACGACTGTGTCAACCTCTAGCAAATCTAGATGCATGTTATATCCATATGTGATAGTTGACAATCTAAGCGGACGAAGAAGAGTCTGTGTAGTTATCCATATAACTAACTATTTATCTATGTCTATGTATCGTTTACAACACAAGTACGTGTCTTCGCGTGTGCGCGTAAATAATCGAAGACTTTTTTTCTTCTATATTCGCTAAGTAAGCGAACTATAGATTGTGAACATTGCCTAGTTTGATTTATCGCTGTACTACTGCAGTACTACTATATCGTATAGTATATTCGGATAATAAGACTGTAAAACCGGATAAAAGACTGTAAAAAGACCTATCACAAACTTGGAATCAGGGTTGTTAATGATATTTAGTTACATTCTTGCTAAAAGTTGGAAGCTAGTTGTCTGAGACTGGACTGATTCGGACATACTGGTACATAAAGATATTTATTTTTTTCACTGATATTTTTGCTTCAGACGGGAGCAGCCTTTGGTGAAATTTGGATTAAAAATCCAAACTGGGAAATTTGGAAAAAAATCCAAAGGAAAACAATTTTATCGCATATTCATTGCAGTAAATGGCGAAAAAAAAAAAAAAAAAAAAAAAAAAACACTATTAAATGTCCTAGTTGCCACATCAACATGGATGTCGGAGATCGGCAAAGTTTCTTTTATATCATCGTTTCCTGGTTCCGTTCTATTGTATGTCTATGTGTTCGTAAGAATAGACCCCTATTTTTTTTATTTGTTTATTATTGTGCCAGGCTGCTTACCGCAGTTCTGTTCATCAGCGAAGTTGTTACAATCATAGTAACCATCACAACGGAGAATATCCTTGATGCATTGGCCATCTCCACAGTGAAATTTCGATGCGCCGCAAAGTTCTTGGTTTTTGGTAGCATGCAACAATTTCCATTTATTGTAAACATTCGGATCCGATATGATTGTATGTATAATGAACGTAAAATAACATGTTAGTCATGAAACCTAGGGCAACTAGCGAGCGGGGCATGCTGCATTAGACTAGCTCGAAATGAAGATAAAGTCTTTGAACAAAAACTACCACATAAATAGGTTTAATCGTGTTGTTCTTTCTTTCCTTCCTTCCTTCTAATTCGCTCTTTATGTTCCTTCCTTGAAAGGCCTGGTCGTTATCGAAGACTTAGCCTGTTTGACCTAGTCTAAAACTCGTACCTTCTACCCCCCCCCCCCCCGGCCTAGTGGAATTGAAATTTTGCTGCATGTTTCCATTAATTGTCTCACAGTTTTTCTCTGACATACGAATGGGTACTGTTTGTAATTTTAATTGGATCTGTCACGTTATAAGTTGCTAGCTTATCTTACTTTGATCAGGGCAGTCGATTTCGTCTGCTCCGTCAGAACAATCACGTCGGCCATCGCAGCGATTCTGCGCTCGGACACAGGATCCGTCGCCGCACTGGAACTCACCGCTTGTACAACCTGAATTTTCCGCACATTAGTAACAATTACTTGAAAAATCTAGTGCCAGCTTATGGATCACAGCGCAGCTAACCGCATTTTTCGCATATCTGATATTTAGCTTTTCGGCTGCAAGTTGAGCATAAAATTTGAAACATATTTTCCATTGGCCTTGAATAACAGGCCCATTAAAATGGTTCGAAATAGGTAAATCGCGTCTGCAAATGGACAATGGGTCGTGCAAAGGACACAAATGTGTCCTATTATCTTTTAGAGACAGCCAGTACTTGGATGTGTGCGTGAATAAACTGGACTTGTTTGTCGCCTCCGAATTTCACTTGATGGGAGCGCATTGGATGCTTTCAATACCCGAACGCAGTATATTTAGGCTTCTTTTACTATAGGATCGTGTATAACCTATCTATTCGCATAAAGAATAACTTTATTTGAGTACGTTTTTTAATTCGTAAATCTTAAATATTTTACTCCAATATTAGAGATCCTTTTGTGTTCAAAAAGTTTGTATTTAGCGTTGTATGTTTTTCCAAGCGAAATACGTCTAGGTAACCTGCACGACTTACATAATAATAATAATAATAATAATAATATTAAGTAATAATAATAATAATAATAGAATTTAAAGATATCAAGATTTTTAGCAAACTCTGATCCGTGATTGGGCGGTACACGTACAGTTGGCCTCATCAGACCCATCAAAACAGTCGTGGCGCCGATCGCAGCGACGTCCTGCTGCTACGCACTGATCATGGGTGCGACAGGCAAATTCGCCCGGAAGACACTGGCCTTGCCGGGATGAGCCCACCCCCGCCTCCACTACATTACCCGCCTCTGACAATGCATCTTCGATCCATTTAACAGCATCATCTACCCTGCAAATTGTTGGAAAGCAAAGAGGTAAGTTCAGATCTGAAGCAGGTCAGCGTTAGCGAAACTTCATGTGTGTACGAGCATGCCTGTTTGTAGGATAGTTCCTGCTTCGGGGTCGAGCTTAATTATACCGAGCCTATTTTTCTATCGGTGATGTTTTCCGGTTCTCAAGAAACGATCGAAGCACAAGGAAACATAAGTCGTAGTCCAAGGTCCCAACAGATGGTCGAATTTTGGCGTGCCGAACATTTATCTACCCTTAATATATTCATTTCTTTAGTTGTTTATTGTCTTTAGTTATTATATTTTTGTTCATACAGCGAGGTTGAATGTGTAGAGAGATGACGCTTTGCTTCCAAAGTAAAAAATTAATGTTTATAACCTGTTTTACCAGGCGTACAATTTAAATACATTTCATATTGCTTCATTAGGAGTTATGGCTCCGCCAGATCTACGAAATTTCGATGATACTTGTATTATTGAACAAGCCGTTGGCTGGCGGGTAGAAGTGTAAAGCTGAGCTGTAATATAAGCTTGAGGTGCCACTGGGTTCGTTTGCATAACAAGCCCAATGGAGAAGTAGGACAATTTGATCCTTTTATTCCGGATCCTTTCGCCCAATTCGACTAAACGGAGTGAGAAGGCATACATGTAAGACTCGATGCTTTTCGTTCGTATCGTATTTATGACGCTTCTTGACGACAGTATATTATTATGGCTTGTCCGAAAGAGCTAGAAATCATAGCTTCGAATCCGCTATAGACACAAACTACAAAGCACCTGGGCTGTAATCAGCGAAGTTGAAATATAGTTTGGCAAGTAATATCATTATAAAAAGCACAACCAACCAACACGAAAAGGAGGCTATTGAATTGATGATGTCTGTTCTTCCTGTAGCACACATTGCACGAGGTTTGCTTGTGCGGCCTTTTAAGAGAAATAAACTTCAAGGCTCAGCCTTTAAGCCTACGCTTAACTATCCCGTTGAAGGCTTTCAGCCTTGGCGACCTATAATGCTTGCGCAGAGTACAACAGAAATCGTGCGTCAGCTTTTTGTGGTGGATTCCAGCAGGGAAGCGTCCTGTGTTTGCCATCGATTTTATGTCAGTACTAATGTAAACGACATTTGTTGAATATTTATTGTGCCCATTTTCCACAACCGTACGAGGCTGCTCCTCTGCGCTTCGTAGTCGGGGCATGCAGCTTTGACCCGTTTAGCGTTAGTGAGTGTGTAAATAGAGGCGAATAAATCTCTTTTTTAGCGGGGAAGCAGTAAGGGATGCTTTATCTGATAATGTGCTCTTTCAAAGTTCGACATCTGCACAGACCGAAGATACGATATAGTAGCAAGACTAAACATAAAACAATAACAAACAGCAAAAAATATGTCAAGTACAAACTTTTTAGCTGTTTCTTCTTTCTGTCTCTGGCGTTCTTCCTCTTCCTGTTGACGTTCTTTCAACTCCCAATGTTCGCGATTCCGTCGAGCGTCCTCGGCTCTCCGGCGAATCATTTCCTTTTCATACTGCTGCTATACAGATTAAATCATTCTACTTAATCAAATTTCGATAACATAAAGGAAACATCTATAAACAATTTATGTTTGCTCTAGATAAACATCTGTACATGCAGACAAATGCAATTACCTTACGGCTTGCCTTGCGCACCAGCGTTTACGAATATATGACGGAAAGCAGCTATAGACTTCGGGTAAATCTATGTGATTTACTGCAAAGTGCCAAACACTTTGCCCTATTATGGCGCTATATCTTTCGCGCAAATTTTACTAATCAAGTTATTTTATAAACACTAAGATTAAAAGTTTTAGTTTTTTGAGCAAGATGATTTGTTCATGCGCGACGTTAGGCACATCTGAGAAGATCAACAGACCTGTTCGAGTCTTCGTTGTTGTTCTTCTATCCGACGACGCTCCATTTCCTGTCTCCAACGACGGTCATGTTCGCGGCATCGTTCGTCAGAGTTTTCATCCGGCCGATTTGGATGCTTTGGATAGTGCGCTCTGTCGGCATCTTTCGGATGGCTGAAGCTATGCGCTGGATTTACTCGGTGATGATTGCCACCTGCAAGAAAAGAAGCGCGTGATATCGCAAAAATTACATTATACTTTTCATAGACAAAATTTCGAAGTTATTTTTAGTCACAATTACTATTTTTCCTACTGTGTTTTTTCGAAGAAACAAACATACGCACATATATAGTCATAAAATTGTAATCTTAATTTACTTTAGACAAGAAGACTCGAACGAAAGATGACACAGTTCTTTGGTATTTTGTGGTCTACTTTTCTGCCCGTGCTATGGTCCAAGCATGGGACTGTTTAAAGCTGACTATGATTATGCACTCACAATTCATTTCATCGTTTCCGCCTATGCAGTCAAGCACGCCATCACAAAGCTGATTCTGTCGGATGCAGAGGCCGTCTTGGGGACATTTGAACTCTGTCGCTGCGCACCCCCTGTCCGCTTCTGCGTGTCGGCAAACAAAAACCACAAGGGATTATTATTATTATCATCAGTGCCCCTTCGATAGGACGGAATTCTCTCGTCTCATAGTTATTCCGGCTTTGTGCGCTTATAAAGAACTCAAAGAAGCAAATGATGGAAATCATCATCATCATCAACTATTGTTCGTTTCTTATAACAACAATGTTAAACAGCTAAAGAATATATAAAGAAGAAGAAGAGGTGTGTATATATATATATATATATATATGATGGTTTATTGAGAAATTTCAAACACCATTCAGTCAGCACGATAGTTGAATACGGCTTACCGCAGCCAAGTTCGTCTTCGCCATGGTGACAATCAATCACTCGATTACATCGACGGCTTTCATTTAGGCAGTAGCCGTCGTCGCACCGAAATTCGTTTGAAGCGCATGCACTGCTCTCGGCATTTCCAGCTGCACCACTGTGATTTGTAACTGTCCTATTGGACACGGCCGACTGCCGCATACAATGCGGGCCTTCGTCCGTGCCGTCACGACAGTCTTTCCGGCCATCACATTGTGCCCTGTTTGGTATACAGCTTCCATCACCGCAGCGGAACTCGTCGGGCGAACAGAACGTCTTACTACACGTTGCCTCATCGCTTTTGTCCTGAAAATTTTAGAACGAAAAGCCATGCTTACACGTACTTTTATCTATAATCCGTATTCATGTTAAAAAAAAAAAAAAAAAAATATTACATATATACAGTTTGTGTGCAAGCCAGGACTGAAAATGAGTGTGTTGAATATTGAACCCTTGTCGTCCCATTACCTTTAGTTAACTCTTAAATATTATTAGCAAAGCTGTTTCCAAACAACAGCCAGCTAAGAAGGGCAAAGAAATATCGTAACAGAAAACAGTGATGACGTTATGTCCAAAACCTAGCGTTTATACAACGAAACCTTCGAGAAGAATAGCAATAAGCAAGGATTGTAAAAACTTATGCGTGGGTCTAACATTTTTTCCCGTTTTTTTTAGACGGAATTACAGAAACTGAGAATAACTCCTGGATAGATTGGCTCCTAGACGCCATTTCTGTGCGCGGACTACATACTATTTAATGAAAACAATTAATTACTCAGATTTTAATATCAACTGATCCGAAGTATCATTTTACGTACTCGGCAATCATTGTTTCCATCACAAACGAGGCCCTTGTTGATACATTGACCATTGACGCATGTATAATGAATTCGGTCATCGCACGCTGAAATGCAGATGGTCTAACAGGCGTTAGTAGATTGTAGAAATTAATGAATTTTGCATTTAATTTAAGGAGTAAAAGCCGCTTGATTTGGTACGATCTTTAGTACGCAATGCTAATTACATTAGTTGTTGAATAATGTTGCATTATAAATTGTATCTCTGAAAATACTGTGCCGCTTAATAAGGCACAATAGCACTACGGAAAGCCCTTTTGGCGAACGACAATGCCGTTCTTCAGTCTAGTGTTTGCGTTTGTTTAAACAAAATAAGCTGCTGCCACCCATCTATTTGAAATAGCCGCTCTGATGTAGAAGAGAAGATACTCACCGCCGTTGCTCGCCTAGTTAACAATCCACGGAATACGGATTGCTATCTTCTAAGCGCCTTAACGTGCCGGCTTGAACAAAATACTAGCTTTCTCTTAATTATTAAATTAACACTCCAGCTTCAATAGTGCTACCATTAGTGTCCTGTTTGCTTGAGCCAACGTATTCTTCCGTGTGCAAATAGAACAATGTTACGGGCTAGTAATGGAGCCTAGTGTGAGAGCACCTGCGTAAGCCAGCCTCGGCCATCTACACCGCCAGCGCAACCAAGTTTCCATCAACAGCGTATGTCTCAAATAAAAATATGCGAGGTACGTCGACCCGACACTCGTCACTGTCATCCCCGTCTAAATGCCATTCCACCCCATGTTGTGTCGTTGCTTGTCGATCCCCTTGGCTACAGGATGCTATAACCACTTTTCCTTAGCTTGTCCTGCCTCTCACATCGTGCTCCGTGTCAGTCAGGAGGCCAAGTGTCCTCTTAAGCTTCTTTCCTAGTCGTCCATAGCCACCTCGTCTGTGGTCTTCTCGTTGAAGGACGCAGACGGCCGCTAGGGGCGGCAACTCATCGAGCCGTAGCTCCTGTTACCTCCGCAGCCCTGTTGTAGCTTCGCTTCCGGTGTATACTACGGCTTCTCGTGCCTGGTCTAGCGATACTGCCTATACAATTGAGCAGGCGGAAGACGACTACTGAAGGGAGTTATCAGTCTTCATAAGTAGCTAATGCCACCGCTACTCAGCAGTGTTGTCTATCTGTCATCGCCGATCATTCACACGCCCTATTCTTTCGCTAAACGATATTATGTGTAGCTCCCTTAACTGCTTTTTTCTTTGCCTGTATATTGCTTAAAGTGTATTAGAAACTAATCGGACTCGGTCTATTGGTGACCAGTCTAAAGGAATGGATGCGATGCCCAATGTGGCAAAGAGGAGCACAGCCTTCGCAAAATTGTGTAAGGGCAGTTTCCACATTTAAAACGAGATAAAGGAAGCTCTACCCACACATCAGGTACATGATCTGAATTGGGCGCGGCGTGATGCCGTACATGGCAATATTTAGAAGTATTGAGGGAAAGAGCAAGAGAACCGATGGGATTAAGGCAGATCGAAACCGAAGGAGTGCATAGATCAACATTGCGTCCTACTACAATGCGAACGATGCCTCTCGGATCTAAGTCTGAAGCTAAAGTCGAACAGCTTTAATCACTAGTATTGCTTGTGCAAAAAATGTACGTCATTTGCTAATTATGTAAAGATAATGTAAAGCTGTCGTATTGTATATGCTGGTGCAAGCAACAAATCAACTGAAGCCGAGTAGAATCTAGAGATGCGCTTCCGTTTACGGGATCGTCTAATTCCGTCGGACGAACTAAACGTACAGCTCCATTGTCTAGATGTGTCCCTTAGCGATCAAAGCTGGTGTTCGGATGCAAAACATTCGGTCTATGAAACCACGTTAGATGTTTCAAACTCGTAATTGTTTCAAAACCATTGGGCAAATTTCTGGTTTTTCAATCTTTCGCTTAAAATGTATGTGAATTAGTCTATAGTAGATTGGAATTCTAAATACATTTTAGTAAATGTGACGATCCGATTGATAAATCATTCAAAGGAAAATACATTAGTGTGAATTAGTATTAGAAGGTCGTTAGGAACACGTATTCGCTCGGGTCGGCATCTGCTCACGTTTGCAATGACGCTCATCTGATCCGTCGTAGCAGTCTGTGACATAATCGCATATCTGCCAACGGGGTATGCATTGACCCGATGCGCATCGGAACTCCTTTCGTCGCAGGCATTCGCGCACGACAAATGGCGCATGTGTTGTGGTAGTCATAATTGTTGCTAAAGCAGCACGCGTCGTCGTCGGCTCTGCTGTCGTAACCGTTTGCCTTCGGCCATCTGGTCCTGCCGGGGTGGCAGGCAATCTCGTCTCCGTTACAACTTGTGGCGGACGCCATCTTTCCGGGATCGGTGAATAGGAACTGGTGACAGTCTCTGTGTATATCCTTGACGTCGGATAACGGGTCGGGCGGTAAAGGTTGTCAGTAGGTGTCTGATAGGTGACAACTGATGAAGGGTGGCTTCGTCGTGCGCTAACTGGTTCAAGCGTCGGATATCTTGGGCCTGGGCCTGGAAAATACGGCTTCGAGCTGATCGGGTAATAGTAACTCGTGTTTGCAAAAGGGTAACGTGTTGGCCGGGTGTAGTCGCTAAATAGACCAGGATGGCCTCGATTAGCATAGAGATCCTGGCTGTTCGACTCAGGGGGGTATGATCGGACACCTAAGGTCGTAGGCACTGGAGAACGAGTTGTAGTAGGTCTATAGAAGGCCTCAAAACGAGTGGTTGATCGATAATCTTGGCCATCAGAAGTCGCATAATGATTCCCACTCGGGGAATAGGACGTAGAACTTGCCATCCCACCCGTTGCGGAATAGAAGGGTCTCGTTGTTACCCGACTCGGTGGCGTGTGGACATGATAGGGCGTCGTGTTGCTATCGAACGGGTCAAATGTATTGGACGGTGTGGTGAACGTGTCTGGCGGTAGAGGGCGTCTGGGACCTGTTTAAAAAAAGAACACCACCATAAACTGTATATGAAGCGAAAACAAAGCTAGAAATAGAACTGAATACTTCAGTCAATAATACAAAAAAAAGCAGAAAAAGAACAACATAATATAAATTTAGCGCGATCAGTTAGCTAAAACAGGCAAAAAGTGAAACAAATTCCTTGTAATCTGATTAGAATGATACGATACAATGAATATAAAATATGATAAACATAGTTGAATACAAATGTTATATTTAGTGAGCCAGATTTGTAAACCAACAGAATCTACTGCGTTCCGTAAAATAGGATGTGGCCGAACAGCTCCCTCGAATCGCCCACACAGACGTATGGCACGCGAAAGTATTAATCATTTATCATTGTTTCCACGATACCGGAAGAATGAAACAGGTGTGGATACCTGATATAAATAATAACATAGGTAAAACGTTAATGGCTCTTCTATGGGCATGATCACACAAAGGTTTTTCATCTTTCTTACTTTATTTTTAATCGTTTCTTACCTCTCTCACGAAACAGCTACCTATTACTATATTTTCATTCATCATATCATATATACTCATTTTCTGCTGGTCGCGAAGGCTAGCTGGGAAATGGGGGTTAGGGAATTGACGAAAGATTGCCAAAAGCTGGCCACTGCGTTAAAACGACAAGTTACGAACAGGGGGGCGGCGGCGGCGGAGATGGGCCACTAGATATAAAAATAAAGGGAAGTCTTCAGCGAAGCCTCGATAGATATGCGACCTGTTTCTAAGAGCCGCACGCAATCCGCCGACCAGTCAGTTAAAAATAGGCTACTTACTGAACGTCTTTCCCAATTCTCGCCAATCGGTCGCAAATGACGGCTAACATGGCTTCTTTTAACCATTCGTTTTCGTCAAAGTTGCATCATAATTTTTTTTCTCTATCGTTGCGCCGCTTTACATTTGCCCATCTTTTATTCGATTCCCTTAAAACCTAAACTGTGGCGTTTCTTCTTTGTCTGCCATTTTCGGGCGGCCAATCGTTAGATGCCATTAGGTGATTAGATGGGTGAAGTCGACACTCAGCTCTCTGAGATTACTACCTGTGTCCTGCTTTTCAAAACAAGAGCTCTAAAAATCAACGATACTGGTTTGTCTGCATTACTGGAACATTTTATTGTCTATTTACCTTTCGCACTTGCTCCCCTTCACGTTTTACTTGTTTAGTTCGCGGACATCTTAACGGTTGTTCTAGCGCTGTCTATTTGTATGCGTCCTAAGGCTTTCCTTCCCTAATACCCGTAGAAACAGCTCGTGTCTCGATGTTTTTCGGATATCTCACACATGGTAAGCCTTAATAGCTGCAGTAAGCATTAGTTACAGTCTAGCGTATGAAAGGAAAGTAAAGAAAAATATCGCTGAAGTACCTTTTACGGCGAAGCTATATGTGACAACTCTGTTTGAAGTAGTGTTTCATTAAACTCTACTTAAGTTGCTAAGAGTCACGCAATGGGATGTACTTTTGGGTTGTCAATGATGTTGTTGAACATTCTGAGTAAATCAGTCGTCGCATCACAAAGGGGATCACTGAGCATCGCGTGTGCCGAATGCTTTTACAAACGATTACCATGAGTGAAAATGTCCTTGCACGAGGGTGATAAAACGACAGATTCGAGTTTAGAGTGCTACCTTTAGGCTATATCTAGACATAGAAAATAGGCAGACAGTGAAGCGTCAATGTTGTAAAATTCGCTCGAAAAGTCCGATCTAAAGAAACTGTTTAATAAGCAACTTATGTTGGAATTACTCTTCTACTTGTGTATTCATTCTGTCAAATTCCGTATTCGAGTAGGATTGCCGGTAAGAGCAAGATTGTACATACCTTTTTTACATACATACGTGTACGTATACTTATCTTCAAAGCCAGAGGCAACTTTATATATAGTTTGGTAAAAGCCAATCCACATGATTGGCAAACGGCTCGGAAAGTATGTGCCTTGTTAAGGTAAATAGATTGAGTAAAACAGTTTTTGAGGGCTGAGCAATAATCTGATTGATTGATTTGGTTGATAGCCGCATTCAGGATGAGCTTCCCCACTTGGGTTATTAATGCAGTGTCTGTGGCTATATACGTTTTATGTGAAGTATACTCGAAGGATCAAACAACTCCATTGTACCGACGGGACGAAGGTCAATTAAGCCTCTATGGGAAGTGCTTCTATTTTTCGCTAAATCAAAGTATAAGCTGCGTTTACATGCTTTATAGGACGCAAGTATCAGCATGTAACCTGCTTATCGTAGCCTAGACTGCATCGAACAAATAAACAATTACAGTGGTGAGTGTAGGCAGTTTATTTGCTCAACGATTGCTAATCACGAAAAAGACAGGGCTAAAAAAAAACAATTATTCTACACGATGTAACGGTGTTCGACATGTTAAATAGATGCATCGTTAAATGGGCGAAAATGTATAAAGCTTCTTTTTAATGTATATGCATCATGCTGTACGGAAGGTATCTTCAGAAGAAAGATATATTCAGAGCTTCGTTGTAACAATGTGTTTTCGAGAAATGTCTGAGAACATGCTTCATATCGTTTCTATCAATTGTTTGTGTTGTCCGTTTTTTGCTACCTGCTGTTTATTCACTTACGGTGTCACCTAAATGTATATGGTAGCAGGTAGTCGCCAAAAACACTACCAGTAAACTTAAGCTGTGGGCATATATTTTTCGGAAAAATTCTGATTTGATGCGACTCACAGGCATCAGCTACCGTCCAATCATCCCTAACGAAGAGCACATCGCCCGCATTGCTGGGGTATCGCTGGTAATTAGCAGGATCTGAAAATTTAGGTGCAAGCGACACTTTCGCATGGGTTCGCCCCTTGTGCCGGTGCAGTCTTCGAGACTGGTGAGGTTTGCGGCCATAAAATGGCGGTCGGCGATTGCGTCTCGGGCATCCCACCTCGTCGGATACATCGCGCATACCCGGACAGTCTGCAACCCCGTTACAGCGCCAGCCTCTGGGGATGCACGTACCCAGATCGCATTGCCACTCCTTCGTTGCATGGCACACTATGAACGTTGTTATGATGTACACGATGTAGTGGTTGAAAAAATCATATGGGGGAAAAAAGCCACAAGGAATATGTCATTGAGAGTGTCATCATGATGCAGAGATAATGATCGATGCTTGGTTTGAATGTGTGCACGTTTTTGATATAGATTGTTTAAGGTATATGTGTTGTATATGTGTGTGAAAGCCGTGCATGATAGGCGCGTGGTCAAAGCCGAACGCAAACATAAGCGGTAACGGAAGTGGTCGACAGGCGATTAAGGAACGACAACAGATTGTTGTTACGTGGGTTGAATGTGTCATTCAGTAATAATAATAGCAATCAGAAGTATCGAAACGCATATCAGATCGTCGTAGTATTACAGGGTGAAGAATAGGAGGTTAAGGTAGAAGGTTGTTTAGGATGCAGAAAGTAACGGTGTGTGAGGATTGTTTGTTGAAAAGCAGACGTTGACAGGTTGAGGTCGTGGTTGACACGTGCAGAATCGATGAATAGAGAGTTGACCCATCCAAGCGGCATGCAACAGCATCCGTCCGTGATAGGCAGTGGTATAGACAAAAGGAAGGTGGCAACTGTTAGAGATGCGCTTTCGAGACAGCAATTGTAATTACAGTATCTAGTGCTCGGATTCTGTTCAGCCATATGGCGTACTTACCAGGAACCTATCGTAAGAATACCGCTAAGTTTGGACTGAACAAGGGATGGGAGAACTGAGGAATGGAAAGGAAGAAATATAGAGAACAAGCTAGAGGGGTATTTTCTAGAGGCTTGTTGCCCTTTTACTCTAAGGTTTAGCTTTTGTCTAGCTAGGTTCTAGAATAGACAGTTGTCTTCTCAAATAATATTTAGTTTTTTCTTTCTTGATAATATAGTACCTTTTGAAAAGTGATCGTTGTAAAACGAGAACCCCCTCAAAATAAGGGAAGCGATACGTCTGCGTGGAAAATGCATCTTGTTGGTGTTCCTCACGCGAGAAGTGGTCTTAAGGGTTGCTTCGTCTCGATAACTTTTATCTCGCGTATTTTTCTAATCCTAACAGTGTACCTATCGTCTCTTGGTAGACCTCGTATATTCAGTCGTGCAATTTTAGATATATCGTTTACTTTAACGAAATGTCGATAATTCAGAATGTCAAACTTTTCCTATTTAGCAATCGTTGTTGTTAATGTTTGAGTGTTAGCCCAGTTGACAAACTGAGCACGAATAGGCACTAGTTCCTTTTAAGCAACATGTCCTTTAAATGCAGAGTAAAACTCCCATAGTAGTATATAAATAGGTGTCCACTACCGCAGCGAAAGATATATCCAATGATCAAACAGTTTAAATACTTACGGCAGTTATATTCGTCTGACCCGTCTGTGCAGTCAAGTACTCCGTCGCACTTTCTCCTGAGCAGATAGCATCGCCCATTACGACACCGTGCGAAGCCCGTTCCGCAGGCTTCACCTAAAAAACAATAGGCATAAAATATGGAAAATAGCATTATTAAGTTACCGTACCACTGAATAAGGCATAAATGTTTAGCTAATGATTAGCGTCTTACGAACGTCATAGTGAGCGAATAAGCGTACATAAAAAAAATACACTGGACCCAAACTGATCTTGAATTTAACGGTGCTGTAAATCAATACATAACAAGCTCGTGGCCAAATAAAAGGAGAAATCACAAAATACGAGCCCGATTCACGCAGTGTTAGGAAGTAATTAATTCTATAGTATTACTTATTATCGACAACTTACTGTTTTGTAGCAGACGTATATAGTATAGCTATAGAAAATACGATTGTAATCTTCGCCAGTTTAACAACAAACTGTCTTTGCGTTGTCAGCAGGTAGGACGTAACTAGGACACTTTGAGAATGAAAATTTATTTTTTCGAACGGTCCCTAAACTGTACAGTCGCACTATTGAGAAGCTACTTTGTAGCTATATAAGTGGCTTTACATACTGCATGTTGAAAGCACATATGGCCTGGGAGAACGAAGCAAGCATAACGGAGACCTCTTTAAATAAAGCCTTTTGCCTCGTACGACAGTCTCTGTCACCAATTCACCCCCTCAGTTTGCAACAGTGCAACGTAACCAATATCACGCTAACTCGTACGGCAAAAACGTGAGTCACTTATGGCGATCGGCGAGAGCGGCTGGAGGTGACGCGGCGACGGTAATAGCGGTAGCATAGCTTTACGGACCTCGGGACGTTGAGTATCTGACGCTTATATGAAAATGAAAGATAGGTAAATAGCCAGTGAAATCAAGTCTCTGGGGGCACCCTCCTAATATATGAGCGCCATTAGCAACGAAATTCGAGTAAGGAGAAGCTCTGCTACTGTTGTTTTCTTCCAATTCGTACGTTCGTCTTCTTTTCGATGCATTAAGTATTCCACATAGAGAGCGAATGACGCCGAAGGAGAGGAAAACATTGCATGATGGCATCGACCAGATACAGGAATCATTGTTTTACGGAACAAAAAAAAACATATTTTATCACAACGCTAAGAAATCACTTCAAACACTTGTGCGTTCCCACTACTGCGAGGAATCGCTCCTCCTGTATGTCATCGTCGACTAAAAATGTCGTCTGCGACCCCGTGCTCTCTAGTGGCGGCTACCGTTATACTAATCCTATTTGGAGAATTCTACGGCACCGCCCGTGCAACTTTAGACAGCGTTCGACTATTAATATTAAGAGGCGACCGGACAGCATTCAAAACTTGCCAGCGAAAGTTAATTGGTGCGGTAATTTTCTGGCCACTTCTGTAAGTACCTTTAACTTGAAATTGATTAAAGTAGTATAAAAGTAACTGTATGAGTCAAAGCGTGTCGGACGTGGACGCGCTTCGTTTTGTGCTAGGAGCCAGCAGTCTCATAGATTACATAACGGCGGTGTCGGGCATAAAATCATGAATCTTTAGAATGGGCAGTTGCCAAATCTGCGAGTGTAAGGTTCTGAGTTGGTCTCCGCTCCGCTGTGGTCGTTATTCCTCCTTTACATAGGTGTGTTGTAAGAATTTTGTGTTTTAGATATGTGCCTTTCTCTTCCATTATAGACTGGGCTTCATAGGAAACTGAAGTGACACATGCCAGCTCATGCTAAAAAATAGTCAAATTTAAAGTGGATCATAAAATTCCCTGACGGAGCGAAGCTCTGATGGCAGCTGGGAGCATCTTTAATTAACACTGTGTATGGTAATATATCATCGCAGATTCAAAAGTTGCCATAGAACCTTAAATCAGGAGTAGGTCCTCACGGTATCGACAGCACGGTTTTTGCCATGTTATTGCTTATTGTTATTGACAATTGCACAATAATAACTCGTGTCCAACACGTGTGGTGCGGTCCATTCGAACCTCATTGATCGGCATCAATTGTTTTCGCGCTCAGTTTTTCCTCCCTTATCAAAACGGACCAATGGCCCGTTGCTGTCCCTTTTGCTTCTACAGTTTTCCTACGCCGCTTGTTCCTATCAGACTCGGAGCGCGGAATGGAATGAACACTACGGTACGTAAGATGCCGTGAATTGACCATACCACCGTCATGCGCGACCGTGGATGTGCCCAAATGCCAAAAGAACGCGTAGCTGCTGACAAGTGGTACGCGTGCAGAAAAGCAATATAAGATAGCTTGCTGGCTCGCAGGTTCGAGGAACTAGGCTAGGCCTTTGGCAGAACCGCAGGCCGAAAGGAACCGAGAAACCAAACGCAAGGGATGCACCTAACAAGCGGCTAATCGTCTTCCACCATTTGTACGTCAGCAGCCTGCGGTGATGGCAGCGGCCTGCCGCGTACAGGGCGGGAGTGGAAAAGACGATTGAGATTCAAATTAAACGATGGCCTGATTTGGTTTTTTTGTACCAAGTTGCCGGCTGTCGTTTCGTTAGGACGACGATCGTGAGGGCAATGTAGCAACGCGCATTGATTAGCCACCCAGTTGAGACGATAGCAGACAGTTAAGCGCTGAACAAGGCATAATGCGTTTGCTTTTTTCCACCATCGGGGCTGCCAGCTTCTCTAAGTGGCCTAGTGCAAGCGGCACACGGGCTGTCCGTGACAGTATTATTACTTTAGCCTTGTTACTCGGGGCCGATTTTGCTACAGCTGCTGTTGCCATTTTTGACGTTAGCGATGCCGTCGCCGATTGTTCAGAGCACTTAATTCTTATTATTACTATGTTATTCAGCTAATTGCTGCTGCGATTGTTGCTACGCGTCGTTATTAGATCTTCCGCTCGGGCTGCTTCTGACCGTTTTGTTGTCGTCGCGTTTGGGTTTGCATAGACGTTGTTAACTGCTGTATCTTAACACTCTCTCTCCTTCGATGAGGCTTTCCTGCGAGTTGTTTTCCGTCCATTTTTTACGCTCACGTTTATTTCATAGTAACGTCAATCATCAGTGGCAGGAAAGCAGATAGGTAAGCTGATCAACTAATTGGCATCCATTCATCTCGTCGTCGTTGTCTTCCACTTACACTAAGACAGTAGCTCTTTTCCACTCTCACGACAACAGCATCGATCTTCTTGACGGTGCATACGCTCCCGATCTGCACCGCAGTCCGTAACCTATAGCAATAGTGGTATTAATGGTGGACGGCTTTATAATGTGGGGCCTGTTGGTTTGTTGTTTCTCCTCTGCGTCACCCAATTAGCCCAGCTGGGCTCTGCTTTTCGGTTTGTGGGCTAAAGCTCAGCAGAGCTATTAAAAAAAACAATAAAAAAATTGTAAAGCGACGCAACACATAGCTACGAACCTGGAAGGAATCGTAGCTCTCAAACGATTTAGAACAATGTCAATTTTAAATGGCGGAAAATTCTTCCTATCAACCTCGTTCGTAGGAGAAATTTCTGCTCCTCTTTTCCCGGAGTTCCTCTACTCCTAGACGTTGTCGTTGAGCAATGTAGGTTATGGGACTTTTATATTGGTTAGACCGAATTTGACGAGTTATACCAATTAACGGTATGAAAATAACTGAAATATACATACGGGAATAGGGGGCAGTCTGAATTAGCTGCTCGAAGTACCCATGACGAGCAGCGCTGAATAATCATTGGTGCTTTGTCATCTACGATAGAACCATATCACTACTCACAAGCTCTACATAGAGAACTAGGCAAAGGACGAGCTAGTCTGCAAAAAATCAGTAACACCGCTTCAATTTTTGATACATTGAAATGAACCTTATGAATTATTAAGCAGGGGATGACCGTCCATGAAGGTCCGCCTCCGTGACTGGATTTATATACGATACTATTTTATTTATTGCGTGTTCATGATATGGCGATATGGTTGAAAGTAGCTTCAAGATAACGTCGACAGAAAACAACTAAACGTATTTATATAGTTTTTCCTTATTAGAAAACTTATACATTTAAGATGTCACTTAAATACAACATCAATATTGTGGGCCCTTTTGACTTTATGCCAGTTAGTCAATTCGCTTAGTTATTGGCTAGCTTTTCCTATAGATCTCATTATATCCGCGATACAGATTTACCCCCTCGACAAAATCGTTGGCGCCGCTAGCATTATTAATGCGTTTTTTTTGACAGAACTTCTGTTTGCTACAAGGAGATGATGTTAGGCGTTACTCCAAACGAAAATCTTCGCCTCTCCACGTAACTAACAATATAATCGTGCCACAAAGATGTTACTTCAGCGAACGGCTGATTTCTAGTCGAACGAACCGCCAGATGATATGACATAACTTCGCTTGACTTCATTTTATGGGGATACTGATAAGAGAAGGTATATCATGACAATTCGCGGCCTCTAATCAATAATTATCATTAGATAAGGCGAAGGAACCAACCTTATTAATAACGAAATTAAGCAAAAATTTTAAATGTATAAAGTTTATTATAAAGAATGATTTCTGCAGATACATTTCGTTGCTTTTTGTGGGCACCGGTTCGAAGTTGTTCCCGACCGAATCTCTGTAGTATAACTGGCGACTAAATTTAAATGGACATGTTCCATTTGACCTATTGAGGTACACCTTTTTGTTTTAGCTCAGTGTAAAATTTTAGGTGCAGACCTAATGAAACCTAATTTTTTTTCGGGTTCAGTCGTCACGTAACTTTTTACTTACTGGCGTCTTCCTACTGCTGAAACACAATCTTATTCTAGCTTTTTCTAAAATACAAGTGCCTGCGTGTAAGGGCCAGAGGCAAAATCGAAAATCTTCAATCCGTTATGCGAATGATAAATAAATTTAAATTTTCGTTTATTTTACGTGAGGGTCGCTAGCCGGAGCTTTGAAATTTCCTCGAGGCTGTGGGGTACTCTATCAATAAGCCTTCACTTCTTTATGTGTATTCGATTTCAATGGGATTGATACACCACTGAATGAAGTGATATTTAATTGAATACGATGTTACGCGCTGTAGGCTTTTTGATCCTTTTATCAGTACAGCTGATTCTCAGGTGGGAGCTAACAACGTACTTTTTCCATTTTTTATTCTTTTGCGGCTGACATTTTGTAGTATCGAGATACCGATGTTGCACGTGGCACGGCGAAGGTCAATGCTAGATATACTATAGATCGGGAATAGGATAGATTTCGAAGTGAAATAGAATCGTGCAAAAAGCTAATATTAAGAGCTTAATAAACCTCCGAAAATCACAGAGTCTTAGGTTTCGAAGCAAGCGTGGCACGTTCCTAGTTTAGCGTTCGGTGCCCTATCCACCACACAAGAGCAGGAACTTCTCAATATCAGCGCGTAGGAATGGAATCCATTTGTTCTTCAGACACAAATGCCCGAACGCGTATAATCAATATTACAATTATAAGACTACGAAGATAGTAAACGTCTAACATTTGTATCTGAAGGAACTTCATGAGAGAACGGTTTACTCATAGCGCTCTCGTCTTTAGGTGTCCACCAATAAATCATACAATTTTTCCAAATGCATTTATTGCTGCCTTCTCAAATTTACACTAGATCAGGGCGCACTAGTTGTTGGCCTACGCAGTGCACGTACCGTGTGAGGTTCTGTGTGAAACGTGGCGTCCGTGAGATTCGTCGAGCTCAGCCAATGGGTTCGCATGCGTCTCCTCTACTTCTTCCTGGTCGCCCTCTTCATCATCTTCATCTGAAAGAAAAAGCCGAACAAATAATATATTGGTGATAATAATTTAAGCTATTGTCACAGTCATTTATACCTTTTGGTGCGGCACTTACTTCTAGCTCCTGTAACAGCAAAACATCACTATGACCGGACGTACTGCCATCAATGTCAGTCGCAGGAAAAGTTAGGACGCATAAAATCTTTCAAGGTCGCTTCTCAGCTCTTTCGTTCCTACTAATAGCGATTGCCCACCGACGCCCATGGGCATCTAAGGCCGCTAACAACAGCCATCTACTCGAGACCAACGATCTCAACTGAAAATGTACAAGTTAGTGAAACATCATCTAGGGCAACGCAGTGACAGCGGGTAGGAACAGCTTTTTGTGTCCCCGTCCTCCCTGTTCCTCTTTGCTAACTATTTTGATTTCCAGTCTGAAGTAATGGTTTATCCGTTTCTTGCGCCCGTTTTCTTTCACTTTCGAGAAATTGCCGCAGCCACCCTTGCTTAAACAGTCGTGTTTTTATTACTGAAATAAGAATCTTTGTCCCTACGATGATATACAGGAAACACGCACACATCAAAACGTAGCATCGAATTGTAACACTAAAACGGTCTATACTAGATTAAAAAGGCAATATAATACTAATAACTGGAATACGAGAACTGGCATAAGTTCTGATGTATTGTTTCCTGATGCAATAACGCAGACCTCGTACGTACTAGGACTACGGTACGCTAGTAGTAGCAATCACTAAACGTTAACAGTACGACGTTAGTACATCAATGCTGTCCCCCCCCCCCCCCCCCACATCACTTGAAGTTATGATTTTGAAGGCAGAGAACGTGCTAGCTTCGCAAGTGTGTGCTTGAATTAAATGCTAACTCTTTTTTCCGCAGCAGTTAACAACGGCTTATTAAACACTGCTCCATGTATTCACGTCTATTTTCTAATCAGCAAGCCAGAGATATGTATTTAACTTGAGGACCTGTATTTCTTTGAAATATAAGCGTAATAAAACATGAGCCTCACGTGCTTTTAACATGTGTTCCATGTTTCTCGATACTGCTATTGAGGCTTCGGCGGGCGAGACACATTAAATTTTTTAAATTTGACTTTTGCATAGTGCTGCCCACTTGGACAGGACTAACATCTATCCAAAAATTAACATGCTTTAATTGTTTCAATAAGTTAGCGCTTCAAGCAAGTTAAAAAGCAAGTGTCCGTTAAGCCATAACATTGTAGGAAAGCGAACCATCGAGTAGTAGAAAAAGTGCATTGAAGGTCAACTCGTTATGTACTTGCTTCATTCAACCGGTTGCCTCTGTCTCCGGCCTTCTTTTGCGAGACAATTCGACTCGCTATGGGTTTGATACAAACTTTTTGCCAAGGCTGTCAGTAACCAATCAAAACACTGCCAGCACGGTAAAGATAAAAATGCAACGACAGCCATACCCACTACTACCATTGCCGCTAGCTAACTCTCTGTTAGCTCCAACCGTTTCTATTCCTACTCCCAAGAGTAACCAAGGGCCCACGAATCACTCTCATCCAATACATTTATGCAACGTCTTTCCACGAAGCTGTAGGAAAATATACGTGTATGAAACCGCGTATCTGTATATATATACGGGTGTGTGTATGTGTGCGCGCGTATATATATATATCGTTTTTCCTGGAGAAAGCTGATATACAAGAACCATGTATGGCACAAAGATGCGGGATTTACCGCCTGTGGCGATGTCTTCCACGCGGATACGTATAATAATTCTTTTGCATGTGATGATGCACGCAGATAATTGTCTACACACAAAAACTCTCACGAAGAAACATAAACGTACATGAAGCGAAACGTGAGATGGGTGGTGCACGCTAGCCACCGCGATTACCATCGTCGTTGCCACGGGGTGGCGTTGGCTGTCATAAATAAAATAACGCCGAATAAGACAGTCGCCTCGGAGCATCTGATGAAAGGAGAGGCGGATGCCAAAAAAAGACAGCGGGCGAGAGAGGGAGAGAGCAGAAAAAAACACGATAGGGACTCACCTTATTAATTAAGCAATTAGTAAACAATGTTTACCCTACTTTAATAAAGAGCTTCCGCCTGAAGGCTTTTACATAAGTCAGATATTAGCCGAAGGCAGCAGACGCGCAGAGACGTCATGGGTGTAGAATTGGATGGAAATGTAAGGAAAAGCTTAGTTTACATATATCGAGAATATTAGGCTTGTGTTTTGGAAAAAAATGGCAAACTTGCAGTTTCAAATGTCTTCCTTTATTGTTGCTCTATCTGTAAACTTATTGTCTCTATAGTACTTTCCGTCATTTCTCATAATTTTAACTTCTCAGAAGTGTCTTCATAATTATGCACTAAACTTCTTTTCAACGAGTACGACTAAGAATATCTGCGTTGTGTATTTTTACACTTGATATGGGCTAAATTTCGTCTAACATTCTGCTTACGCAGATCATGCGCTCTTTGTCACACGGTGCCACCTTTAGCGTTTGTGATGTGATTTACAAGTTGTAATAGAATATTTGGCCTGCTTTCACGTTTACGGCCATACTAATTGAGGAAATTATAAGCTCTAGGGCTAGAAATGTGTTGGGTGTGCAATCTAGTTAGACATTTGCGACGGTAGGCAACCTTTGGTCTGCATATTTGCGGCGATTACCTCCTTTTTTCCATCGTCTCACCAAATATGACAAGAGACTAAACAGGCCAGTGGAAAATTAATTAAATTAATTAAAATAATTAGTTGGAAAGATGTTGACAGTTTTCGAGCTTCGGCAGTCGAATTCCGCTGGCAGCGCCGACAGAGAAAGCCAGAGCAGAAGGGACAAAAGTGATCGGTAAGAAAGAGGAAGTGGTCGTGTGGTTTTTTCATTGTTGGCAAGCCTTCTGACGCAGGTTTCCCATACTTTGTTGACTGAACGCTACTCCTCTGTCGCTTGGCTTACTCGCCCTACTGGCACAACAGCGATTTGATCTATAAAATTTTCCGCCTTCTTCATAAAACAGTGTACAGCTGAGTCTAGCTCAGGACTGTTTCGTCATCCTGCAAACCGAGAAAAAACTGATTGTTGGATGAGCCGAGAAAACTACGCCAGTTTCTCACTGCGACTGCACTATCATACCTCCTCTTCCTCTGTCGTAGGTTTTCGCATCCTGAGGTGAATGTAAAATGGTCGCAACTAGTCACGAAGCATCCATCCCCCAACAATAGCGCATGGGCTGATACAAGGGTGACAATGATGGATAATGTCGAAACACTGGCGTAGTTGGCTTGGGGCCCGCAGGATCAATCCAGTTTTAACATAAGAAGTCTAGAGTTTGTTTTTGATGCTATCGATAAATGTTAAATAAAGTTTATTTTTACAATATAGCTTCTACGAGCAGCGAGTAACTTGCTAGGCCAAGCCGTTCAATGTTCAATAGCGTAGAATTCCTGTTCTATTTTTCGAAGACATATCACACTCCATAGTGCTCTTGTTTCGGAGAACGTTTATTTCACCACCTAATTGACCGTAGTGTGCTTAACAGTTGTCAGAATAGCCGTCACTGGAAGCGCGGGTCGAACTGACATCTTGTGATCCTTTTTAAAATGCCTCGACGATCCAGTCGGTAATAATATGTTGGAATTATGTTAGTAAATAACGATCTAGTGTAATTTGGAAGCGTTACTAAGTGTTTACGTGATGACGATGATCATGATGGATTGAGGTGCCACGAAGATTGCGAACATATCTTCCTGCCCAAAGCTCAGCGTCCTCGCGGTGTAGAATATTCGGTAAGAATGAACTTGTCACTCGCAAGCCGTGTCGGTCACACAGTATTCATTTTTATGTTATATGACTGTCTAGATAACCAAGTGATAGGTTAGAATCTCGACCAATCGATCTCACGCTCTACTATATTGTATGCTTCAAATCTTTTGTAGGTAACCTGCATTAGGCCTTCCGTACGCTGGCTGTGCATTTTTTACTACCGGTCATCTACTGACCTTTAGTTTCCAAAGACGTTATCTTCGTTGTGAAGACGTCGTTTCAACCGAAGTAAGAAATACGCAAATGGCTATAAGGACGGTACAGCTGCTAAGATCGGCTAAGAGATAAAAATATTCCTCAACCAACGATCAAAGGCGAAAAGGAAATGAGCCAGTGCAAGTTTCGGCCTTGGACAGAGCTCTCGGTTGAGTTCCTTGACTGATTCCGGTCTTTGCTGCTTCTAACAGCTAACAGTGACAGTAAATGAACGCAAGTGTTCCTTAAGGCCAACCCCATAAGGGTGACAGGACATTGGCAAAGCATTTGTTCGGGTCTGGCGAAACTAAAACGCTTTGCACTTCTACGGTAGGGGACACTTACAACGTCGAAATCCTTTTAAGAGGTAGACGGATGGCTGGCAGCAGAAGATTCAAAAAAGGGAGCAGTGTCTGCGGTTTTGATGAGTAGAAAGAAGTGGGTCTATTGACTGATCTACCTCCCGTGGGGGGGGGGGGGTATAAGGGCCTCCATTTAAGACCCCCTGCTGACACTGCTACCGTATTACTATCAGTATGCATAGTGAACAAACAAAAATTTGTTTCATTCGAAATGCATGTACCATATTGACAGCGGTTTTCCGATCTTACACACAACGTTGCAATAACACAGGGAGAAGTAACGTGCGTTTGTTTTGGTTTCATACAAACGCTTCTACCGAGTGGTGTATTTTAGTTGAATATTAATTGGGAATAAACAGCAAATCTTGCCTTTTCCCTCACATAACCCGATAACGCAGACTAACAGATTTTGTAATTAACAATGGCCCATAAAAGTAGCGTCTGCACTTAATTAGAGCTGTTCCACAAAAGTACTGGGTGAGAAATACTTTTTATAATGTTTGTAATAACGACAAGTTGTATGAGCGACGCTAGTAACATTGGAGTGTGGCACGACATAAACCTGAAAACGGTTAAGCGATACATAATTGTTGAGTGTTACGTTATTACAGTGGGTGCTCAAAAGTACACGGTGAGCCAC